GTGGCGCTGGACAGCGGCAGTGGTCCCGGGTCCCAACCCTAGCCCTTCCAACAACCCGTATCCTAGCCCGTCGCCGAGCCCGTATCCGGTTCCATCGCCCAGCGCGTCGCCGGATCACCCATCGCCCAAGCCGACACACGCGCCCAAGCCGACACACGCGCCCAAGCCGACGCACGCGCCCAAGCCGACGCACGCGCCCAAGCCGACGCACGCGCCCAAGCCGACGCACGCGCCCAAGCCGACGCACGCGTCCAAGCCGACGCACGCGCCCAAGCCAACGCACGCGCCCACGCCGACGATGCACCCGACGCCGGGTCCGTCTGGTGACAAGGTCGCCTTGTACGGGCAGTGCGGCGGGAAGGGCTACTCGGGTCCGACAGCGTGCGGTGCCGGCGCGCAGTGCGACGAACTGAATCCTCACTACTCTCAGTGTCGGCCCACGAGCGAGAAGGAGGGCACGGCGGCGGCGTACGGTCAATGCGGCGGCAAGTTTTACGCAGGTCCGACGCAGTGCGGCGACAGCTACGACTGCATGGAGCGCAATACATACTACTTTCAGTGCGTGCCGCACGCTTAGATTTGCGCTTAAATCTACATGTTGTCTAGTATCAACGTTTGAAAAATACATTTTACTCAAATTTTCGCGCTCGAAACTTTTGCTTTGCAAAAATATGAAGTTCTGATCACAACCAAATAAATACGCATGTACTTGGGCATCAACCGTGTTGGTGCCCGCCATGCCATTAGTGGGCGAGGCGGGTTGGCTCAATTGGTCTTCTCTTGTCCGACACTACCAATTCCAGAAATCTTCTAGATTTCGTCCGTTCGTGGAATTCCTTCCACTTCTTGGATACGACCCTTCCACGCGAAACACGGTTTTGTGAGGTTGATAAAGAAAAGATAGATGACTGTACCGTCCGTCCGTGCAGTTTTTAGGTGTTTCTTGCCTGCTTTATGTAGCCGCCTTCTAGCCACTCAGAATGCGATATCTTTAAATCGCGGCCAAGGTTTTGTGGCGTGTGCTACTGTAACTTGCTGTCGGAACCGTGACTTTCCGGCCATCGAGAGCCTTTGCCGACGGTCTGGGCACACTAGCCTGCGGCACGAGCCGATTCATGGCCCACACGTCCTAGCTAATGTCGCCGTCGACGCGCCAGCGGTGGCCGGTTTTCCTGTGCGTGGGGCCAGCGAAGCACGCTTGGTCAAACCTGTCGAGCTCGAGCAGTTTAGAGCGTGGCCGGGCAGAGCATCACGTGGTGGAGACAGGCGGCATACTTGGGCAAACCTCGTCATCGTCAGAAGCTACCTCGAAACATACTACTACATGTACAGCACCTGAACTCCACTGGGCCGCCCGGCATGCCGCTTATCCTTTTTGTGAGCGCGCGCAACCATCAGCATCCATCAACCGAGGCGTCGGCGGTCAACACGAGCGTGCTGCCATTCCGCAAGACTTTTATCACCGTCGTCTTCCATAGACATGCACGCTTATACAAGAAGGCAACTATCTTCGAGGCGGGCATACGCCATGACGGCGGCCGCCACATCACTGGCTTGCAGCAGCGCCACCATCGCCGCCGTGAAACCAAGCGTGGCGTCGAGGGCGCCGATGCGGTGGTCGTGGTCGTTTAGCATGAGCCGCAGCACCAACGGCACCTACGCAGTGGCGCGCAACCAGGATTCGATCCTGCACATTATTGTACCTGCAGCTCGCGCTGGACGAGGCGCTGGACAAGGGACTCGTTGCGGAGCGTGTGCGGAAACACGCGTGTGAGCGACGCGCGCGTGAGCCGGAGACTGACGTGGCCAACGCAGTGCACGACGTAGCCGTCGTCGACGCCGAGGCACTCCATGCGGTCGCAGGCCATGTCAAAGCCCTCGAACGTCGCAGCATACTGGCGCCACTGGTCAAAGTAGGCGGCCTGTCCGATACGCCCGTGGAACACAACCGACTCGTGCACGAGTCGAGAGAGCGCGTCGAGCGTCACCGCGTCGTTGCGACTAAGGCCAAAGCGGGCCACGCTAAAGTACTCGCGGGCGATGAGGAGGCTCGAAAAGTGGTCGAGTGGCCGGTGGATGCTGCTGGCGAGCGCGCGGTGCCGGCCCTCGAGGCGCAAGGTCTCGAGCGTGAGCTCTTGGACGCGGTCGGCGAGCGCAGTCGCTGCCGCAACCGACTTCGCGCGGTACCGCCGCTGGCTGTCCCGGCACTGCTCTTGGCGCGTGACCATGGCTTGCCCTCTCTTGGTGTTCATCGATTTGCTGGATGTGGAAATGGCTGCAGCTGTCAAGTGACTGATTTCCATCGCGTGGCGTGACATGTCGCCTGAACGAAATAGAATGGTCGCACGTCGCCACCACCCACCACGCGCGAACGGTTCCGGTTTAAGAGTGATCACGAGTGGTTGGTCGCCCCGTGATCGTGTCGTGCCGCCCGTTAATTTCCAGGAAGTAGGCGATTCGCTTTGGCCACGGACGTTTTGAAACGAAGCGGCAGTATGTATATCTGGGCGGACGAGGAGGATGACCTGCACGTGGGCTGACGCCACGCAAAGGTCGAGTGGGATGTGCTGCGCTACAGTGATCCCTTGCCACCCAAGCATGAAGAAATGCTACAGTGCGAACGAAGCTCGCAACAGAGGACTTGGGCTTTGTATACAGGCACGGTGCGTCCGTACCGTACCAAGTAGCGATCATGCAAGTTGATGTTCTGGGCTTGTGCTTGCTTTGCACGGATACCCACCAGAAAGATTACCAACTGGGATACGCAACGCTTGGATTGACTCATCGCACCAAGGGAATAAATATTTATTCCCTTGCATCGCACCTACCGATCGGCTGCCTCGACGTACTACATGATGATGATAGCCAGTGGCTACTCGATCTCGCAAACCCAGAACAACAGCACTGCCCACATTGAATGCAAGCCAACGAGATCCCACCGAGCACTGCTACGAATCAAGAAAGACGGATCTCGGCGTCGTCGCCACCCGTCAGCTGTGATCAACCTCCGTCAGCTGTGATCAACCTCCGTCAGCTGTGATCAACCTCCGTCAGTTGAGATCAACCTCCGTCAGCAGTGATCACCCCCGTCAGCAGTGATCACCAACCGTCAGCAGTGATCACCAACCGTCCACCGAGATTCCATCAGCGTAGAAACACAAGCGACTGTATTGAATATCGACTGCTTTTTAATCCCACGCCGAATCGCCGCCCATACCCACGTCCGTCGACGCTGCGAGCGTCGCGATGTCGAGAGGTGTCTTGGCCGCCTTGGACTTTTTCATCTGGACGACGCCCAGCGCACCACTTTCCTTGATCTATAGCAAGACACATCAATTTCCGATCGTGCAATCCTTTTCCGTACGAATTTGACGCGCTCCTTCTTCTTCTTGCCACGGACAGCCTTCTCGTCCACCACGGGCTTCTCCTCTGTCGGGCGCAAGTCTTCCTTGGCGACCTTGGCCGTGGCGGGCGCGTCCGCCTCGGCATTCTTCTTGGCCTTCTTCTCCTTCTTGGCCTTCTTGGCCGCGGGCTCGTCGTCAGCGGCCTCGGCGGGCAGCTCGTCCGACGCCGCCTTTGCTGACTTTTCAGCCTTCTCCGATTTTTTGGCCTTTTTATCTTTTTTGGCCTTTTTGTCCAATTTGGCCTTTTCATCGGCTTCGAGCTTGCGCTTCTTGCGCTCCTCCGGGTCGGGCTTGGGCGGCGCGACGTAGCTGTGATAGTGATCCATGAGATATAATTCAACACGGAGACGGCGTTGTACCCGTGGGTCCGCTTCTCAAGCACGCGGTGACCGTCGCGAATGATGAGTGTTTCAAAGAGACGCTTCATCTTGAAGTTGTACAACTTGTTCTTCTTGTCCGCAGCCTTCTTTCCTACCAAGGACAATAATATTGTGAGGATACATATAGCACTCGAGAATACAGTCGTACCCGCCTCGTCTTCGGTTGTGGCGGCTTCGGCGGCGACGCCACAGAGCGGGTTGCCCTTCAAGTTGAGCTGCTTGAGTTGCTTCAAGCTGCCGAGGTTCTCGAAGCCGTCCCACGTGTCGATCGCATTATGGCACGCATCGAGGATCTTGAGGTTGCCTACGGAGATGCTCCATAAGACAATGTGCTCAGTCAACACTTGTCCAAGCTGTACGGTTGTTGGCGAGCGTTGCGGGCAGGGCAGTGAGCTGGTTGTTGGAGATGCGCAGCTCCGAGAGGTCGGCGAGGACCGCCATGTCAGGCAGCGCCTTGAGCTTGTTGTGCGAGCTACAGAGGTACTATCAGTACACATAGATGCATGGCTACGATCTCACGCACATGGAAATCTTGACGAGGTTCTTGACTTTGCCGAGTGCCTTTTCGCTGATGTCGCCAATCCGGTTCTGGCTCACAATGAGCGACGTCAATTGCGGCATGGACGGCAGCCAATCGAGCGACGTGATCGAGTTCTTGGTGAGCACGAGCGCCTTGAGCTGCGTGCAGTGGCGGAGGCTCGCACCCGGGAGGCGCGAGAGCTTGTTGTCGCTGAGGTCGAGCGTTACGAGGGCCTTGCAGTGGCTCAAGTCACCGACGCCGCTGTCTGTGAGGAGGTTGGACGTGATCTTGAGCTGCGTCAGCGTCATCGCCATCGAGAAGCTAAAGCGCGTGAGCTTGTTGTGCGAGAGGTCGAGCTTCTTGGCCGTGAGGCCATCGCACGCGTGCGCGTCCATGGTCTCGACGCCGCGGTGCGTGAGGTCCAAGACCGGCTTGTCGCCAAGCACCTCGGCCACCTTGTTCTTGGTGAGCTTCTTGATCTTGGGCTTCTCCGTCGGCGGCGCGCTCATGCTGCTGCTTGTTTGGATCCGAGAAAGTGCAATCTCGGGCACCAATCGATGCGCCGGCTTGCCAATAAAACTTAACACCGAAATCGAACTTTATTGTGAACTTAACACAGAAAGAAACCTACCGGTACATCGAATTTTATGTTTCGAGGCCGCAACTTTCAACACAAAGGACACCCAGTCCCAAACGACCATTATTTCCAAATGCCCCATTGCCATCAAATTGATCACATGGGATCCGGCTATTGGAGGGGCCTCACACCAAGCGTACATCGTCATGCTCAAAATAAAGGGTCTCTCGCCTACATGACGGACTGCCCGTAGCATTGAGGCTAGTTTTGCATTAGTTGGATCCTGGCTAGGCACAGTTATGCACAGTTAGAAGGAAAGGAGTAGAGGACCTTGATAACGAGGAGCGTCGTTGCAGTGGGGCTCCTTGGTTTTGTGTCAAAACCAAGGAAGCCACAGCTTTGGACCGAATCTTTGGCAGGGTTTTCTTGAACCCGGTTGAGAGATGCATCGACGGGCCAATCAAATGCATTTTGTCCCACATTTCCACCAATCAAATGCGTGTATTCCTTTCACATGGGTTGCTGCTGTCATACGCTGCCACGGGTAATTGCTTTTGCGTCATTTTCCAAGACACCGCGCCATGCTCCGAAGGTTCTCCAAGCACAACGCGAGCGCGACCAGCCGCACGAGCGACAGCGACCGCTGGAAGCAGGACGCCGCCGACGACGAGCGCATTAGCACCGACTTTGTGCCCATGACCGACGACGAAGCCACTGCGATCGGCGACATCCCCGTCATGCAGCGCCAAGCGTCGTCCATGCCGATGCTCGAGCGTGAAGACTCGTCGGTTCCGTATTTGAACCGCCAAGCCTCGTCGTCGGTCGTCGCGCTAGACATGACGGAGCCTGCCCCGATGTACCGGCACTCGGAGCCCGCCTTTTCATCGATGAACGCCGCGCCCATTCCCCACTGGAGCCCTTCCGCTCGACCCAGAGTCGTGACGACAGGACCAGACCTTCTCGCTCTCAGTGCAGCTTTTAGCGAGCGCTCAAGAGCCCCGACTCGAGATTCCGAGGCGATGCTGACGTTGCATGAAGCATCCGGCAAGACCACTCGGCCCGGCGACCTCGTTATTCCATACAAACCACTGCGCAAGCGCATAGCTTAATTTCGTTTTATAAACTTAGACAACTCGATCGACCAGCCTGCGAACGATGTCGAGTCTTTCTGGAAGAGGGACTTCCAATATGTACTGTTCTGATTTTAGCCAATGACCACGTCGAAATCGAAGCCATTGGCCAATAGTCCACCAATGGCATCGACCCAAAGCAATCTTTGGTCTCGAAACGATCCCGACAGCGGAAACGGGCATGATGCACCGAGAAGCGAAAGTGCACTGCCGAGACAAGGACTGTGCCGCAGACAACGTGTCCATAAGTCCTCATGTACCTGGGAGGTCTACCCTGCATGAGCTCAACCGCGTGGCACCAGACACGAGTGCTTCCCAAGCGCCGTCGACGGCGCATCTCCGCCTGCCCGAGTCCACCATACTACAACGAGAGCGCAGCGCTGCTAGCGTTGTGACAGCGGACAGCTTCCTTTTACCACCATTGCCAATCCCGCGGGTGTTCACCACGGGACCCGAGTGCGTGGATTTCACTTCGACACGGAAGAAGCCACTCGAGCGTCCATCCGGAAGCGAACCACCGTCCACGGTATCGTCTGGGAGCCCCATTATCACATACCAGCCGCTGCGCCGCGCCACGACCCGCGAGCTAATTGAAGGCTTCATGTCATGACATTCTGCGTGATCAAGTCCCGGCTTACGACCAGAACAAACCTATTTACTCTGAGCGATTCCTCCTCGGGACCTCGTTTGCGAAACCAAGCACGTGCAGCATGTAGTGTATTTAAATGGTAGGAGGATTGTTAATGGATCGCAAGCGTCGATTACGGGGCAGTGCCATAGAACTTGAGTTGGCAGTCTTCGCCACCTACACCACACAACAACAAATGTCAATATGGTACGGGAAGGCGTCGGTGCTGATCTACCGCTCACGAACGCCGGCTTGTCGGCCGCGATCCACGCCACGTCGAGGGCCTTGCCCGTGTGGGCGGCGAGCGTGAAGAGAGGAATCGAGCTGCGCGCATCCCAGACCTTGACGGTGCCGTCGTAGCCGGACGACACAAACTGCGTCTCGGACGCCCACTCGACCGCGCTGACCCACATCTTGTGGGACTGGAACGTCTTCTGGACGAGCGTCGTGCCTGCCTTGGCCGCGCGCGGGTCCCAGAGTCGGATCGCGGTATCCGGGTGCGCCGTCAGGACCATGCCATCCTTGTTGACGCTCATGTCCGAGATGGTACTCGAGCCCGACTAGAGTCATCGTTTTCAGACTTATGAAAACTGCAAGAGGCACACAGCATACCATCGTCTGCTTGCACATTTGGAGCGAGAGATCCCAGAGCTTGATCGAACGGTCCATGGCCGCCGAGTACGCCGAGTGGGACTCTGTCGGGTGGAACGCGACGGCGACGACGCTCGCCGTGTGGCCCGGCAGCACGAGCGTCGCCTCGGCCGTCACTAGGCTCGTCTTGGTGCCCTTGGTCGTCTTCTGCTTCTTCGTGCTCTTGTCCGTCTCGGCCGCTTCCGCCGTCGCCGACCACACACGCACCGTGTTGTCCCACGACCCGGAGAGCACCTAAGGATGGCATTTTGAGATGAGCCTCGATCGCCTCGATGCTGCTGCCTACGAATTCAGCTTCGGCGTCAATCGCGACCGTGTCCACACTGTTGAGGTGGCCGGCGCCAACGCTGATTGCCGTGAGCGTCTTGCCCGAGAGCTTCCACGTCTTGAGCGTCTGGTCCTTGCTGCCCGTGACAATGAGGTCGCCGTGCATCGCCACCGTCTTGATCACGCTGTCATGCGCTACGTGCATGTCCATGAGCGTGCGCCTCCATGCAAATATTGCGTACCTTTGGCCTGAGCGACCGGGGCGCCCGCCAGCGTAAAGACGCGGAGCACGCCGTCGTAGCAACCGGTGACGACAAAGGCGCCGCTCGTGGCCACGGCGCTGATCCAGTCCGGGTGGTTCTGGCTCGACTTGGCCTCGGGCTCGAGGTGCGCCTCGACGTACTCGAGCTCGAGCACGGCTTCGTCGTTCAGGTTGTGCTGCACCACGTACTTTTCGAGCGACGTGCGCAGAAAGTTGTCGTCAATGAGAAAGTCAAACGGCTTGGGCTCGGCCGTGTTGAGGAGGTGGTTGACGACCTGCGAGAGGCCGGCGCGCGCGAGCTTGATGGGCACCGCGAACGGCGTCTCCGTCACGCGGATCTCCGGGTTCTTGGTCACAAACTTGACACGGATCTACGTGGCGAGCGCTCAGCGCGACCGGCGAGGCGGCGATCCGGCCTACCTGGGCGCCTTCGTCTTGCATCGGTGTATCCGCAGCAGCAAAATGGTTGGTGGAATTTTTCAAAGACCAATCATGTTGCACACGTGAATGGTGTATGGTACACTATTTGGGTATTTAAAACGGAATAGAATGCTGCATTCTGCGCCAGTAACGCTGAAATAGTGTGCATGATAAAAGTATCAAGTCGATGTTTGGCAACATATCGTGACAACGCCTCGTATACAATTGCACACACTGTCAATAAGTCCATGGACGACTCGCTTGCCGCTCCGTACTATAGTAATATGTATGCAGTTGTAGCATTCTTGTTTAGTTATAGTGTAGTAGAGGGTCGTCATTCGGACGCGTAGAGGGACACAATGTGCTTGTGAGCGATGAGAATCGACCGAGTCGGCGTCACCAGGATCGAGTCGCCATCGTACGCCATGCTGCCACGACTAAAGACTGCACCCGACTGTGTACAGTACAGTGTCAGTGCCTTCTCCAAGCAGACGGCAATGTAGCCGCCAGTGACAAATTCGGGGTTGAAGAGGCGCGTGGTCGGTGATGTCAAAAACGTCTGCACTGGCGCCTTGGGCTGCCGCGTGTCCATGAGGAAGAGCTGCCCGTCAAAGCCGGCGGTGAGGAGCTGCGTCGCTTGCTCGGGGTGCCACCGAACACTAGAACAACCATCGTTGAGTCCGATGCAAGAATTGCCTCGTGATACCAGTTGACGGACTGCGTGTGGAGCTCGGCCAAAGCGACCGGCGCAGCTGTAGGCGACCGTATATCGCGAATGTACACGGCGCGATCGTTGCCACAGGATGCAAAGACGTTGGGGTCGTGACGGCTAAATCGCGCGCACTTGACGACCCCTGCATGGTCCTGATACCTTGCTTCCCTAGAACAACAGGCAATGGCTCATGACAGACGTCGTTTTTAGCGACGTGGATTGGGTCCATCGTACATTTGTATGGCGCCCGCAGGCGTCAACCGACTCACAACGACCGATTGGTCTTTGGAGCTCGTGACGAGCCGCGCGTCGACATGGGCATGCGGCGCAAGGTCGAGGCTAAAGATGCCGCTGCCATGCAACGCGTTCGTGGCCGTGAGCTCCTTGGGGCAGCCGTCGTTGCTCTTCGCGGTGCGGAGGTCCCAGACCTTGACATACGCGTCGTTTGCTGCAGTCACAAGCAGAGAGGCCGACGCTGTCGCGAAGAGCCGAACACTAGAAACCCAACCTCCGTGCGCTCGGAACGACTGCAGCGGCGCGGGACCGGAGGCAACGACGTCGGCGCCGTACACAGACACGTACCCGAGGTGCCCTCCCGTTGCGAGAAGTCTGGCTGTGCTCATGTCCATTGCGTAAATCTTCTTGAGCTGCGCGTCCACTCGGTCGTGCTCTGTCGTCGTCTGAAAGACCATGGTTGATGACGCCGACGCATCACCGTGCCTCGGCGTGTTCGAGTTCGATGAAGTGGCCATCGAACACATGTACTTGTGCACGCTCGAGTCTTCGTACGTGGCCTCCGGCGACGGTGGCGGGGACGGCTCGGTGGGGACGCGCGCGGTGGTGACGCACCCGGCAGCGTGCGACGGCGCAGCGCGTACGATCGCGTCGGTAGCGCGGGGGTCGCCGGCGATCGCTTGCGCGTCGGCTTGGCTTGCACCGTGTTGGCGGCTTGGCGCAGGCTCGTCTTGGTCGAGGCGAGACCGAGCGTTGCGAGATACGCTGCATTTTGCTGCATCTTGCGCAGTCGCTGCTGCTCGTACTCGGACACGGCGCTGTGTTTCGTCGTCACCTGCGTCGTTCGCTGCTTTCACGGCGAGATCATCGAGAAGACATGCGTATTACCTGTGGAGCGTGATCCGAGGTTGCCGCCTCGTCGTCCTCGCTGTCGCTGTACTCGACCTCGTCGCTGTCGCCCGACATGGTCGAGCAGGCGGATGCTTCGGACGAAAAGTCACTGGAGAGCTCGGCAAGTTCTGTTTTTGACGCTGGCTTGGCCTTTGAAATGGACGATCGGCGCAATGCGAGCGGGCGCTTGGTGTTTGCTGTCACCTTGGCTCGGCCGACTCGTGGCGCTGACAAGAACGCTTTGGACGCAGCGCCGCTGGGTAGCTTTGCACGTGCTACAAGTGTAGCCGGCTTGGCCTTCGCAGCAGGCAAGGTGCGCAAGCGAATCGGAGGCTTGGCCCTGGCTGGCGCCACCAGGTCGCCGGTCGTGTTCATCTTGGTGGCCGTTCCAGGCAGAGAATAGTCTAAACACACCCCATTGCGCAGGTAAAAACCACATTAGTTCGCTGTCATAGAGGCGCAGAATGGCGTGTGTTTAGCCTTTGTGTTGGCCAATGAGCGCGGGTGGCTGCTCCAAGCATATTTTTAAAAGAATTTAAATTGTTTTCGCCGACGTCCAAGCTTGAAACCTATGACACATTCTTCACATCCATTAAAATGCCATTCGAACAACCGTTGTGTTCGAAGAACAGACCAAACAACTTGCCTTTTGTATACACTGGACGACACCCGATTTCAAATATATACTGCCACAGACAACTAAAGATCGACTAACTAAAACCCGTGCCATATCTTTCGCAGAGTCGATTTCAGCATGGGCCTCCGACGCTACCGCCGGACGTTGCAGGCCACGACGCTACTCGGCACCGTCGGCGGCGTCGTCGTCGCCTACTATGGCATCACGCTCAGCTCACTCGTGCAGGCAGCGGCGCCGGGCGGCGCAAGGCTTGCCGTCGCGGCCATCGCGCTCGCCACGATCGGATGTCTCTACGCCTGCGCGAGCATGCTTGGCTTTTGCGGCTCGACGGCCAAGCACGAGCGTGTCCGGTGCCTCATGATCTACTTCTACGCGACAATCGTTGTCAGCGTCTTGCTCGTCCTCTTCACGTACATGGCCCTCGCCGCGCCGTCGGCCATCGCCAACTGGCTACGACTGCACTGGTCGGTGCTCGGGCTCGAAGGCCACGCGTGCTGCCAAACGTACGACAGCGCCATCACGTACGCATCTCCATCGCAAGGCACCGACATCGACATCTCTCTGCGATAGATACCTCAGCCATCGGTTCACGACGCTCGGTGGGCTCGCCGTCGCCTCGATCGCGTGCATGTTCGCGTCGCTCTACTGCGTCATCAAGATCGTGACCGTGCCCACCGTCATGCGCGACATCCTCTCCGTGATCAACGTCATATTTGTGTTCCTCGGCCTTGGTAGATCCTCTCGCTCCTCCTTCTTCTAATCGATTCTGGATAGCAACCTTCGGCTACGGACTCTACATGATGGCCCACGATGCGCTCGACGCTGGCGAGGACTGGATCGCTTCCATCTTTACAGCCATCGGCGTGGCTGTGTTTGTACTCGCCACGCTCGGACTCGTCGGTGCCAAGGCCAAGAGCCGGTCGCTGCTCCTTGCTGTACGTACAAACTGCCATCCACTCGTCGTCGTCGTTGGGCTCACCATAGCATATGCAATATCTAGTACGCAGTCGGCGTCGTGCTCTGTCTTGTCGTGCTGCTAGCGAGCGCCATCTTTGCCTTTGTCGCCGCATCGCATCTCGCCACGTCGTATGAGCTCACCCACGACGCCGGTGACATTGCGTGCACGGCCCGGCTGTTTGGCTGCTCCAACTGCACGGGCGACGTCCAGTGCCTTGGAGCCCAGCGACGCAGCCCGACCTTGGGTACGATACAAATTCTCGATACGTTCGAGTCGACATGATTGTCGTCGTCGTCCTAGACGTGTGGCAGCCATGCAATGCGTCGAGCCCCGAGCCATGCCTGCACCTTGCGACTGTGCTCTTTCCAATGCCGTCGATGGCGTCGGTGCCGTCGCCGTTGTACAACCAAGTGGCGCCGTGTGGTCACTGCCCCGAGTGGCCAGCGGTCGAAGTCGCGTCCTACATGCAGCGGAGCCTCGACTTGGTCGGTATTCTCTGCTTGGTCAACTGGCTCTTCTTGGCCATTGCGCTCGTCGCAGCTCTCATCCTCCGCCGCAGCCTGCAAGGCTACCAGACAGAGTCCATCTAACAACAACATGGCAATATTGTGTATATGCTATGTTTTGATATAACCTACTTCCTAAACCTAAACCACTTTACGCAAGAAACTCGCACACGTACGGCGCGGCGAGGCTGCTGACGAGGCTCCGGCACGCGTCCAGCGACGCATGCGGCACGTCGACACCGTTGAGTCGCGCGAGTGACCACGTCGGAAGCACTTGGTGTGTGCTGTGCAGCAGCACGAGCTTGGCGTGGGTCGCGTCGTACTGAAACGAGTACTCGGTGAGCGACGTGAGCGTCAGCGTGCTGCGGTTGTCCAAGAGGGCAGGCACCGGCGCCTCGAGGCGCTCGAACGTCGGGCCGTCCAGCGCCGCGTCACGGGCGGCAAACGCGACCTGCGCCGAGTACCGGGCCGCGGCTTCGTTTTCGACCGCAAGCGCGAGGTCCTTGGCGAGGCTTTCGTTCGCGGCCTGGAGCGCCGACAGCTGCGCCGTCAGCGCCGCGACCTGCGCCGCCAAGTCGAGCTCGACACACGATTCGGGCGCGTGCGGCTCGTCGACGACCGGCTCGGCTTCGGGCTCGGACGACAGTTCGGGCTGCTCGACGTTGGTTTCGACCTCGGGTGCCTCGGGCAGCGTATTCGACTCGACGACTTCGGGGGCGTTCGCTTCCGGGTGCGTTGCTTCGGCCGAGACAGTGCGCTCGACAGCGACCGGTGGCACGACGACAGAGGCGACGATGGGCTCAACGGCCGCCTCGACGACCTCTTCCACAACAGAAACGACGACCGGCGCTTCGACAACGACAGGCGCTTCAATAACGACAGGCGCTTCGATAACGACCACGGCCTCTTCGACCGCCACCGGAGCCTCCACAATAGGGGCAACGGCGACAACCGGCTCGGGCGTCGCAACGACTGCGGGCACATCGACAACGACGGTGGGCTCGGGCGTGACCTCCTCGACACTGGGCGTCGGCTCGGGGGCACTCACGACAATGGGCGCCGAGCGGGGCACGACTGACGGAGCGGGCTCCGACTTGTGCAAAAACGCGCCGATCTTGCTCGGCGTCGGGGCCTTGGAAAGAAAAGCAGCGAGCTTGTTGGAACGAGGCTTGGGTTCGGCGACGACCGGCGTCACTTCAACGAGCACCGAGGCTTCTTCGACTGCCACCGGGGCTTCTTCGACTGCCACCGGGGTTGTCTCGATGACCGCCGGCGCTTCTTTAGCAACGACAGACGTCGCTTCGACAGTGACCGGGGCCGCTTCGACGGCCACCGGGGTCACAACCGCGGCGACGACCGGGGCCTCTTCAACAACGACCTGGTTTTCGGGGATTTCAGCCACCGGCACCGTCGTCTTGGTGACGACCGGGGCGACGGGGGTCTCGGCACTATGGACCACCGGAGCAGATTCTGGCACCGGAGCTACGACGTCGACGACCGCGGCGACGACTTGAACAACTTCGGGGGCGTCGACTTGGGCGGGCACGGCGTCGATGGCTTTGGCCACAACGTCATCGACCTTGTGAAGTTCTTCGACCATGGGGGTCACGGGCTCGATGGGAGCAGCGACTGCAGGCACCTCGGCGACGGCGGGAACGTCTTCAACGACCTGCGCAACGACGACTTCGGCAACCGTGACAACCGGAGTTTCGACCACCGTCGGCACGTCCGTCACGGGGGCGGGCACAGGCTCCTTGTGCAAGAACGCAGCGAGCTTGTTGGGCGTCGGGGCCTTCGAGAGGAAAGCCGTCAATCGCGACGCACTGGACGACGGCGCCACAGCTTCGGGCTCGACCACGATGGGCGCATCACGGGTCACCATAGGTTCGGGCTCGGTGGTGTCGTCGATCGCCGCCTTGACGTCCTCCACCGCCGCGACGACGTCGGCAATGACGACGGCAGGCGCCGCAACGGCCGGCGCTGCGGTCTCCGTTTCAACGTCGACGGCGTCGGCAGCAATTTCGACGTGTTGCGAAAGCATCGGTGCTTCGTCGACCGTTCCGATGGTCTGGGGCGCGGCGACAGCTTGGTCGACCGATGTGAGGGCGGCAACGACTGGTGCTGCCACGACGTCGACCACAGACTTGGCAACAGCTTCCGCAACGACTGGAGCCGACGCGACCGGGGTCGAGACTTCTTCCACAGCGGGCACCGGCACTTCTTCCACAGCGGGGGCAGCCACCTCTTCCACAGCGGGTGCGGCGACGACCTCGACAACGGGCGCAACGGCAACCTCGAAGGCGGCAACGGTGGCCTCGGCGACCGGCGCCGTCGGGGCTTCGACGGCGGGCGACGGAATCGAGCGAGCAATCTCGGGGACGTCTTCCTTGGCAGACGACACAGCTTGCGTGAAGCTCGGTACCTTGCTCACAGGCGCGGGACCGCTCGAGAGGAAGGCCGCCAACTTGTTGGTCGAGACAGGGGCAGGAGCTGCCAGCACGGGCGCCTCCACGGGAATCTCAATCGGCGCGTCGACCACGGCCAGCGTCAGCTCGTCGACTGGCGCAGGCGTCTCGGCCACTGCCTCAATCGCCGCCTCGGTCGTCGGCGCGGGGCCATGCGTCGCTGTGAGGTACGCAGCGAGCTTTCCCGTCGTGCGCAGCTTGCGGTGAAAAGGCGAGACGGGTTCGAGAGCCTCCGGCTCAGGCTTGGGCGACGTCGTCGAGCGGAGCTGGACCTTCTCTGTGAACCCCGACATGGCGATCGCTTCCTCGACCGGCTCCTGCGGCGCACGCACCGGCGTGATGTCATGAGGCGCCGGCGGTGGCGTCTGGCTCAGAAAAGACGAGAGGCGGTTCGTGGGCTTGGGCGCTTCAAGCACCGGCGCGACCGTCGTCTCGGCGACCGGCGGCGAGACCACGGTCGGTGTAGCGCTGGCGCTGCTCTCGGGCGTCGTGCTTGGGCGGTTGTCGTCCAGCGGCGTTTGCGCCGGGGACGGGTCCGAGACCACAGACGTCCGCACGTCCTTGACAGGTGTCTTGTGCGAAATGGCACTCAGAAACGACGAGAGGCGGCTCCCGCGCTTGGCACCGCCGCTCAGCGACGACTTGCGATCTTCGTCGTCCGTGGACGTCTTCTTGCCAAACATAGACGTGAGCTTCGAGACGCGGCTGGCCGCCTTCTCGGGCTCACGGCGCGCGCGCGGCGACGGGATGGGGATTTCGGCGCCGTTGCGGTACTTGTGGTACAGGACGCTGAGCGTCTTGAGGACCGCGGCGTCATCCTTCTCGTCGAGAAGCTGCGCCGACGTGAAGAGCTCGTTGACGCGGGCGTCGTCGCGCGCCCAGCGCAGGAAGAGCGAGATGCTCTCGAGTGCGTGGAACGTGCGGTGCTTCTCCAGCGGCCGGACCTTGATGACAGACGTGTTGGCGAGCGCGTTGGCGAGGAGGCAGAGCACGCGGCCGTCGCGGAGGTACAAGCAGAGGTTGTCAGCCGCGTCCGGCGTCGGCGCCTCGCTCGTCTCGCGCTCGATCCACGCCATCGCGCTGCCCACGTCCAGCACTGCCGGGGCCATCGTGTTGTTGTTACTGCGCCGGCGAAATATGCAAAGTCATGCCAGTCGACATGCCTCTGCGTCAGGATCCGGATATCAAGATATGTCGTCCGCCAATCACGACAGAGGACGAGGGGTGTCGCCACCGCCAGCTAAAAGCACGCAACTTGCCACGCAGAGGAGGAGCGGTGACGGCGTTGTCGGGGCCGCACAAGGCGGTGCTTCTGCTCGGTCGTCCCCAGCAGAAGATCGAGTATTGCACGAGGCTTGCAATCGTTTCTCAACGCAAGGCGCCGCGTCGTATATTTCCCGGAGTGTGCGTTGGATCGCCACCGTGCAACACCTCTACCAGCAGTACCAGAGTGAGTAGCGTAATAACCCGTGCTGACCTGGCGCTTGACACGACGTCGGGGATGCTTAGACGAGGACTGTGTTGCGAGTTCAAATTGATTGCATCGATGGAGGCATTCGAATTGTTGGACTTGGAGACAGCACGCTGTAATCTCGCGTCGGTGCACCGTCGCAGTCGACAGCCGACACGACCACACGCGCCGATGGCCATTACCGCAGCGCCAGTAATGCTGCACACAGACGCGCTCACACAAGTGTACAATGGTCACAGAGGCCGCACTCGTCGAGCTGGAGGCGAGCTGTCAAGGGTGGATGCTGGCAGCACGCAAAAGTCGCGTGCGTTTAGACCGACCATGGCGTGTCCAGCAACCGGATACGAGGGGCGTAGCATTTATGGCCAGTGCACGTGCGATCGTCAGGTTTCGACAGCCGAACGCTCTTGGCTGCTATCTGCCTCATGCTGCGCCCATCGCCTCTTCCAAAGCTCCTTGCAACTGCCCCGAGAATTTACATTGCATGCCATACAGTGCATGGCGTAGGCCTTGCGCTTGGGCCCACTCCCAGTTGTGCAGTTCGCCGCACACTAATTGCTAAAGAGCTCGCGGAAGCGCCAGCCGTCTGTCGGCAACCGCATGCGGGATCTTTCCTTGTTTCTTACCGCTCATCGCACGGAGCAATGCGTCTTCGGTCGTGGCTTGTTGGGCAAAAGGCCAATCCTGTTCGATTTGAACCCACAATGGCAACCCGACGTGCTACAAGCAGCGCAGGCCCCGCACTGCAATGGAAAGCGCGGTGCAAAGACGACACTACTGTACGAGTAGAAATAGCAATAGATAAGAGGCGACATAAGGGCGAGGATCGGCGGCTCAGCGGCAGCCGCGCCACGTCGTGTGCAGCATGTGTTCCTTGGCGTGCTCGTGGCGGAGCTCGGGGTCGTGGATCGCGTGGTGCTGCAGTGTGTGCGAGACGCCGGCGACGACCATCGTGGCCAGAACGCTCGGGCAGACGGTGTGGAGAACGCACTGCGCGACGGCGGACATGGGCATCTTGGAAAGCGACGAAAAGGCAAAGTGACGAAAAGGCAAAGTGAGGTGCGGTATCATTCTTACAGCTAGCAATACGTCGAGGACGCTTCTATGACCAAAAGCGTGTGGCCATGCGAGGAGCACAAGGCCGCGCCCGTAGCATGTAGAATTGGGTGCGCGCCATCTGCAACGTCAACGATCCGAACCAGATACGCGAAGCCATGACCAGCTTCAACTTGGCTCCAAGATCTGAACATGGAATCTCGCTCGTCCAACCAGACGCGCCTCAAACGATGCAGCACGTCGATTCTCGCTGGATGAGGACGGTTTGTAGGGTAGTGAAGGTGCGTACCAACAACAAGGCGCTCGCGGCCAAATGGCAGAAAACGTTGTAAAAATCAAATAAATTAGCAAAACCTCATCAATCGTCGGGCACTGCTACAGTACTGTTGGCTACCGGCAGCCCCGCCACGTGGTGTGGTGCGTGTGTTCCTTGAGAGCTTGGGCGCGCTTGGCGGCGTCCTCCGCGCTGTGGTTGTTGGCATTGGTATTGTCGCCCGGTGCGTGCACGGCAGCGGCGACGGTATTTACGACAAGAGACGTCAGCGCAGTCGGGCACACAGTGTGCAAGAGGCACTGGGCGGCAGGTTGCAGCGGCATCGTCGTGGTCGTCGTCGGGCGAGTTGCGAAGTGGCTGCAAGATACGCTTGGGCGCATTTTCGTATTTTTATTTTGCTACACGCAAATAAAAATCGTATCTGTGGATACAAATGTCAAGTGGTGTGAATCCGTCATGTCCGCGGGAATGTTATTGCGGCTCGCGAGCGGCTACTTTGACGTCGTCTGGTCGGTTCGATATTTACACACCTTGAAGGTGCCGCAGGTGCGTGGGGTACTTCAAGGCGCGTCGTAGACTTGGATCTCTACACGAGCGCGTCAAGAACCAACCTCGCTGCACGCGCCAACGAACGATCAACGCCAACGAGTACATGGTGTGGTGAAGTACTTGGTGCAATGCAAGTCGTATGACTACCAGCGTAGTACATCTGCGTAGTCGGTTGAGGACGACAGTGGCGCTCCGTTGAAGCTCTACGCTTGTGCAAAGATCCATGCATCAATCATCCATGACGACGAGCAAAAGGGCTTGGTTGATGGCACCGGTATGGGTGACGAGCGATGGACCAAGCAAGCAGCATGCACGTGCACGAATGGCCACGCTAAGTAGACAGTACAGGCGCGCATGGCAGGAGACAGGATACTCGTACGACGCTTCCTTCACATCAACCAACGAGCCGCCTCCATGGAGTCAAAGTTCATGCCGTCGTCGATAGTAGGTAGGTACTTCACAGTGCACAAGGTATTTTCATGTGCGAGTATTATAATAGACAATAGATTAGATAAAGAATACGCGGAAACGTGCGTGGGGCAATTTAGCGGCATCCGCGCCACGTTGTGTGGGCCGTGTGCTCGCGCAGGTGCTCTTGCGTGGCCTTGGAGAGCGGCTTGTCACCGTCCGAGGCCGGGTGCAAGCTGCTCGAGACGCTGGCGATGACGAGCGACGTGACGACGCTGGGGCAGACCGTATGGAGGAGACATTGGGCGGCCGTTGTCAGAGGCATCGTGCTGGGTGTTGAATGGCGAGAACGATTGAAAATGAACTGCACCGACGGTCTCAAGATCCCTGTGATGTGGCGCAGTCGGAAGTTTCGCGACATATGATTGGCAGGTCCAAAAAACCTCGTAGCCAATCCGACGTCGGCAACGAGGTGGCATCACCGCCTGTCGCGTGTGGCCACATCGGCGACGCGGCTTTGTGCGGGCAAGGTCGCGTTTGATTGGTCGAGCGGTGAATGAAATTGCAATGACGTGGCCACGTCAGGTGGTCGGAAACTGCGCAGCGCTTGCAAATATGAGCACCAACGTATCGCACGTGGCGTGCCCCTGTGCTCGAATGCATGGTGCTGCGAGATCCAGGCGCTTGTGGCATGTATGGGTCATGTGACCACTGAGATTTGCTTGGGACCTCCGTGAATAATGTTTCCAAATTTCTATGGTTTGCAGTTTTCGCAGAAACTTTGGAGGAAATGCAAAGTATACTTATACTCGTCTGGCGTCGACAGAAGATCGTGCGTTTGAATTCTGTGTACGCTCCCGTAAGCTTCTCGCTTCGTGGATGTGGCGGGATGTGCCGAACGCAGGACAAAAGCAACGCTGTCCTACTGGTGTCCATGCAAGGCGGGAATTGACACGGAGGTGCCAGATGGAGCCACATCACAGCGCATTTGACGATGGTCCATCACTTTTCAACTCGAATTCGAATGCACAATGCCTCTCTTGTCGACGGCGGCGCAGTGTCTCGTGCAGACGCTTGGGCCGATTGCCGTGACGGTTGCCACCATCTCGTCGCTCTCCCCACTCGTACAACCAGGGCCACATGCGTCCGACGACGACAAAGCCAAAGCGCTAAAGCTACAAGAGCAGATGAGTAAGACGACGTGGCGGGGCTGCCGCTAACCATGCTGCAACGCAATATGGCCCTTTGTATTTAATGTCATGTATATCGATGTATGCCGTTTCGTCGAGGCTCCACGTTTTTGGCGCTATGCAAGGAATGGATAGAGGTTAAAGGGAGGCAACGGCGCAATGGCAGCAAACGTGTTGCCACCGACTTCAACTTGAAGGGGCCTCGCATTTCCCGCCAAAATATCCACCGCAAACCCAGGTTGAACTCCGAGCGAACCGTGAGCTCGTGATGCCGCCAAGTAGACCGCCTCTGCAATCGCGTGGCAGAAAAGACTGTCGACGGCTACGCATCGTCGACACACCACACGAGGAGTCTATCAGCGCGATGCCAAACGACCTGCGCGACATGCATCCCTGCCAATTTGCCGGTCGCGGCGACACCGGTGAGCACACCAAGCTTGCATTGACCAAGGCAGCTGTATCCGACGGCATCGGCTCGGCCAACATGGCAACGCAGGGCCACAACTATGACTACCCTATTACTTGTCAGTGCCATGCACTTGGTGTTGCCACGTATTGATCGACCCTAGCGGCAACCCATGCCGATCAGTCGTCCTTTCTGAAAGCTCGAACAAACGATGTGATTGGTGCAAACGCTATTTTTCTAGCCAATCGCAGCGCTCGTGTGCACTTCGCGTCTTTTCCAGCCAAATCGGTATCTTCTCGCCATGCAGCAGTTCCAGGCGCTCGAGGCGCTGCGCAACTCGGTGCACGCGCTACTGCGTCAAATCGACGCCCACGAGAGCGACAACAACAACAGCAACAGCAGCCATGCACCGGACGCCTGTGCCGGCGACGTCTGCGCGGCCATCGAAGCGTGCTTGCACCATGGCCTCAAGCGCGTGTCGGCCACCGAGACGGTCTCGCTCTGGGGGCTTATCCAGTGGACCAACATCGCCCAGCAAAAGCGGCATCGCGCATGGCTCGCCGCACAATCCAAGTCGCCAACCGCAGCGGCGGCGGATGACGACTGGTAACTGGACCTTATATCTCGTCGTTTTGATCGATGCGGCGCAGGTACAATGACATGTTCAAGGACGAGCTTCAAGGCATCACATCGCTGGCCGACGACAACCAGCGGCTGGAGCTTAGCGTCTCGGAGAGCCCGATGACACCGGGCTTGAATGCGTCGATCCGCACCGCCAACTCGCTCTTGCACGTCAAAACACCGATCGGACGCGTGCGCGCCTGGATCCGCCAGTGCTGCAACACGCACATCCTCAGCGCGTGCTTGGCAGGTTTGTCGTTATCCTCTTTTTTTGCATGCTTTTCGACTGGACATGATGCCTAGGGCTCATGCACCCGCTCAACCATGCAACGCTGCAGACGTACTTTGAACCATCGGCGCTTTGCCTCAACGAAGACGCGCGCGAGATCTTTGTTGGTCTGACATCGACATTGGATCGACTCACGTTTGGTTTTGCGCTCAATGTACAGCGCGCATACGTAGCATACTTCCTGACCACGCATGTAGAATGGACCGGCGGAAGAGATTACGAAGCGGCAGGCATTGGCGCGACCCGTGGCAGCGCCTGCCGCCGCCGCGCCCGCCAACCACAATGTCTTGCAAGTCCTCGACACGAAGGCGCAGCAACTCTACGAGCTGCTGCGGCATACACTGCCTCCGATTTTGAGCCCCCGCGCGCTGGACGAGGTCGGCATGACCAACGAGACACATCGCCTCTTTGGTGTCCCGCTTGCGTCCCTGCTTCTGGACGCTCGGACGTGTGCCATTGCGTCCATCGACCCGCTCCTCGGTGTGCCCAACCTCGTCGAAGGGTGTTGCCGCTTGATTGACGCGGCCACGGCGGTTGGCACGCCTGGATTGTTTGCGGCCAAGATCAACGCCACGCGCTTCGCCCAGCTGACGCAGCAAGTCCAAGCGGTTGGCTGCTTGAGTATCTGGAGCAGCGTGCACCATGGTATCATCCTTCTCATCAAGGTCTATCCTATTATCGCTCGTTGGATACCACACACTCACAACCGCGGTAGTTTATGAGGGACTTGCCCGACCCGATCATTCCCGCGCCCCTCTACGGCCGGTTCCGTCGGTACGCTCCGTGCCATGTACTTGGCCTCATAGAAGATGGTAGCATTCACGACTTGGAGGGACGCCATGTCCAAGTCCTCGCCCTCACGCAGCTCGTGGGCGAGCTGCACTGGAGCGTCAAACCGCTTCTCGTGCGGCTCTGCGCGACGATCGACCGCGTCTTGCGGCTCTCAAACGACACGACCGTCGACCGCATCGCCGATGTCTTTGTCCGCGTCCTGTTCCCGCGGTCCGCACCAGCTGCCGACGAGGTCATCAAGCTTTAAAGGCGTGGGCATGACGCTGGCGTAGGCGGCGCTGACCCAGCTCGTGACCGTCCTGTTTCTAAACGCCGACACCATTTTGGCAGAAACCCGTGGCACGCTCTCGGACCGTCGCCATGTAGGGTCCCTTTCTGTCGCCGACACACCTCACGTGCGGATGGGCCTAGTACGTCATGACCAAGCTCGAGCGCCTCGCAGCGATTCCCCGCGACCGTCAAAACGATGTCCTGTTACCCTACCCCTACCCGAAAAACGGATTGAACTCCATCGTAGGTCCGCACGTCGCCCGAATGGATGCAGTTCCAAGAGGCGTATGGCCTCGCGGCCGAGAGCGACGACACGCTGCGTGCGTCACTCCGTGGCGGCGGCCGCCTCGTGGTGCAGTGCATGCTGCACTTTCTCGCCGAGCATCAGGAAATTGCGCAGCAGATCATTGCGCAGCGGTCGTCCTGTGCCGTGGACGCCAAGCACTACCCCGTGCGCAGCTCGAGCGTCTACCTTGTGCGGATGCTGGTCGAGATCCTGGGCCTCGACGGCACCCCAAGCGCCCTCGACGTCGTACGTTTGCAACGTTCAAATGGCCAAACGACACGTGCGATGTAGGTGGATCTGGACACGCGCACGTGGCTAGCGCGCTGCGACGGCGTCAACGACGGGCCGTTAATGCCGCTGCCAACGCACGCCGGTGTCGCGATTGTCCAGCGCGGCCTCTGGGCGTACTATCGACTGCGATATGAAATGGTTTATAGACCATGTGGACTAGGTTGTTTGACGACGCCAAGGCGTTTGAGCGGCTCTTTGGCTTGAGTTTCCTGCTCTTTGATCGCAACTGGACGCGGTCGGGTACGTGCATCGCGGACATAATTGGATACAATATCGTCTTGTGCAGGCGCGACGTGCATGGACTTTAACACGATCTTGGCCGAGACCCAGTGTCAGATACAATCGCTCTTGCGCGACGAGCCAGAGACCATCTCGGACCTCTGGCAGCGCTGGTCGGACCGCATTTCGCAGCAGTATTTGCAGCCCGCGACCCAAGCCCCCCGTACGTCGATCGATCTTGCATCAACAACAACTCGAGGGCACAACGGGATGTAGGCGCACTGGCGCACATGCGATCGTACATCGTGGTGTGGGAAGGCGGCGTGACGGTGCGTGCGTCACCCACAACCCAGGGCGAAGCGCTCGGCGCCCGAAACAAAGGGGTATGTCTACGCCTACGTGAGCGATGCATTTATTGCCTCACTATCTAGGACCGCATCGAAACCGTTCTCAAGGCGGGCGACTGGCTCAAGATCCGCGATGCACCGGGTGTGCACGACTCGGGCTGGGTGCGTCGGCGAACGGCCAATGTGACGCTGCTCGAGCTCGTTGCGTAACCTCGACGCCTTGGCACTGCATTGGGCTTGCATGATCCGTCCTCGTTGTTCATGTCGTTGGTTGTTTCTTAAACAAATGGTATACTTCTATATTGCACAGTCTATCGCACAAGGCGGTCGTCGATGATTAGCCCACTTGCTGGAGCCAGATGCGCGTCTTGTACACGCCAAAGAGGTCGCGCACGAGCTCGCGAAAGTCGATGCGTCTACACATGAAATGACAATATTGTTCATCACCATGAAGCGCATACCGTTGGGCTTGAAAGAAGAAGGTGAGTTTGTGTCGGTCAAACTGGAATTCCGCGTCGAGAACGACCATGGGCAGGAAGCGCTGGCGCACCTTGGCCCGACACACGTCGAGCACGACGGCTTCCTCCGCCAGCGTACGCGGTGGTGAACGCAAGCACATGACGTTGTGTGACGACGACCTTGAGCGCGAGCTGGTCCAGCTCGGTGGCCACAACGCCTCGCAGGATGCGCTTGGGTGGCATCGACAAATGCTGCGGCTCCAAGAGAGATGTGCTTTGCATGATCGCCTGGTTGGCCCACAAGTGGTCGAGGGTCTCGCCAGCGCAGACGACAACACCGACGTCGTATCCTCGGTCGGCCTCGACCTACGCGTCGCCGGTGAGAAAACATGTTGATCTGCGTCAATATGTACAACATAGTACCTTGACGTACTCGCCAAGTGCAAAGTGAGCGTAGCCCACGAAAATGCTGCGCCGACCACGCTTGAACTCGACCTCGTAGTAGATAACGCAGTGCATGGAGCTAGGCACTGCATATGCCTGCGTGGGCAGATCGTGGTGGTGGTAGTACGTCGGCGTGTAGCTCAGTGGCGCGGTCGAGGCACTGTAAGAGGCTTGCAGCGGGCGCTATGCATGACTGCATGAGCGTTGGAGCAAAGACGAGACAGGCAGACTACGCTCGCTACTTGTGCCTCGGGTGGCACGAAGCTCGGCGCAAGCGCGCGCAGGGTCGGCGCCACGGCCAAGTCGCGGCTACCGGCTGGCTCTTCCGGCGATCGCGTCCAAATGGCGTCGTCGCGCTGGTTGTCGCCACTGCTGCTGTTGCTGTCGGTCGAGCTCTTCCGGCCCTTCCATGTCTCGAGCTTGCTCTGCGCACGTCGTGGCGCCTGGAAGCTGGTGAGGCTCGCGAACGCGCTCAGGTCGAGGTCATCGAGACTCGTCTGGTTGCTCTCGTCGTCGGCCGTCGCCGGCGGTAACGTCCATCGCGCGAGCATCGCGTTGGAATCTTTTTTGGATATCCGACTGCTGCTTGACGCTGGCCACGCGCGGATACAAATATCAAGTCATTGCTCTGTAGCGGTTTCACATTGTATCACTTGGTATTTGTATATGTGGCGCAGACACCGTTATATTATTAAATCGGTGCCGTTTCATCGTAATTCGTGCCATGAATTGGGCAACGTCGGTACGATTTACGCCCCTTATCCGGAATTATTAAGCAAAGACAGCGACGTGAGCTAGGCCAAGGTGACCAAGGATACGAGTCGTGTGGAGTTGATATGCAAGTGTCAAGCGTTTCTAGGCGAGGCAGTGCAAGCAAGTTACGTGCGATGTAACATTTTAATCTCGTCGGCTCGAATTCCCACAACAGCCGGCTACAGGAAGCTATAGCTGGAAGCGACGGGTATACTAGTACGCCTGCGCGTAGCTGCCTGCGTTCAGCGATCTCACCGGCCAAAAGAATATGACGATGTATAGTATATCCTCGCTTATCGTGAGCTGGAACAGTCTACTATGGGTTCAGAGCGCCAGTGACAGAAATGACAAGCAGAACTCGGGGAGCGATTATCATCGCAACTCGCACACGTTCAACGAGGCCGGTGCGACTCTCCTGCAAGCAGCTCCTGTGTGAATCATCTGCACGCAGACTCGTACTGCGTAGGATGTATGTTTACGAGCACCCTCTTCTCAGTACATGACAGCGAGTCTGCCGCCGTGTCAATTGAAATTGCACTTTAAGAAGACGATCTGAAATTATAAAGAGCACCTCTATTGGTGCGTATGCAGACATACGCACCTTCTTTATCCCACAGACGGGCGATGGACCGAGGCGGCTATCGCATCACAGCTACACTGACACCTTGAAACAATACTACATGCAAATAGAGTTATGTGCCAGGGTTTCGATCGCGCGAGCTACCTCTGCCTAGACGCCCCCATGATGAGAGCGTCACGATGGAAGTACCATCCCACTTTCTACAAAAGACGCACCCATTTCGGTGCGCCTTTTCAGCGACGTGATCATCTGGGCTTTGTGCGAACACTATGGGGCGAGTAAAAATAGTTCGCGCAGCGCATCAAAAAAGAGAGGGAAGAGAGTGTGGGAGTTCATTTTATTACGCGACCGGTTTTTTGACCAGCGGCCCGCTTAGGGTTGCTGCCACCGCATGCGACATGGCATACATAAATCAAGACATTTTAATGCACGTATGCGCGAAGTCTTCTCAATTCTAATTGGCTATAATGTATCGAATTATGGAAGAACGCGTTGTTTTATTGGCTAAAATTCAACGCAGGCGACTCACAGAGCTGCGCTTCCTCGATAGAAGCACCCGTGCGATTCAACATGCCAACTACGACACTAGTCTTTGCCGCGGGTCGATCGAGAAGCCCAGGCCCGCGATTCATCGTTGACGGCAAGAACGTCGGCGGTCTCTTGCCTTGACCAGGGCGGACTGCCTTGCCCAGCAGCACTTCAAGGACTCTCGGCCCCGGAAGAAGCTCGTCCCAACGCCATTCCCGCTGCGCGACGTACCTCGTCACACCAACCACCGATCGCCAGCTAGGAAGCTGTCGCGAACGAAGTCGCATCGCCTCATGTTCCGCGTGCAACCACATATAAACGTCATTTTGGCAAGCTCACGGACGGCGACGCGGACAACTCGCGGCCCAAGACGAAGCGCAAGAATCGACCGTGTCCCGTGTGCTTGTGCCCCCACCGCAGTCATCGCCAACGAGGTTCTGAAGAGTGCCCACTCCACAAGTTCTACAATGCCAACAAAGGCCGATTCGAGAATAGTCCCGTTGGCTCCGGCATCACCGCCTACGACAAGGCAATTGCCGAGTGGAACGAGCTACAGTCGAGGACGGATTTAGCGGCTCCGGCGTGACGACCTGCGTCAAGACAGTCCATGCATATACATAGTCAATACCATTGATATCAATACAGTCGTCCATTGGGCTGAGCGTGCAGGGTCGTCCTAGCTCGAAAGCACTCGAGGCGGACTCTTGGCAGCGGACCATGCTGCCAAGCGTGGGTAAAGATGAGTGTGCTATGCGGTCGCAAAGCTGCGCGGCGGTCGCAAAGCTGGCGCCTGCGCTGAAAGCCTGGAGTGACGCACGGCGACGCGCCGGCCCTCGGAGCGCGCCCCGCACGCTTTCCGGAAATAACGCGCATTCTCGAACTTGATAAATACTCGGTATGGGCCTTTCAGAGGTTACCTCTATAAATGGATATATTGCGAACGGGAGTGGAGTCGCCCCATGCGATTCGCACTCTGCCATCATCTGACCAACAGGATCTACCAGCCAGTGTCAATCCTCTCCATGTGGAAAGGAGGGCTCGTGCTCGCGGCCATGGCGTCGGCGTTGGCTGCGCCGCTACCAGCGACTGTCTTGAACTTTCGCCACTGGGTGCTGGACCTTCCCGAGGCGACCTCCAACGTGACGCTGCCTCTGTAGCATCCCGCACTCGACACATACACGTCGCAGGCGTTCACCGTTCAGGGCGATGGCGTTGCGCCCACGACACCCGTCGACGGTGCCCACACACACAACGCCAAGTATCCTCGCGTTGAGCTACGCGAAGCCAAGCTGAATGCTCGGAATGCTTCGTGGCTGCGCAACTGGGACCCGCGGCTCGTCATTGCACGAGCTCTCGGTCACCATGGACGTCGCGTCGCTTCCGCCGCAGCGCGCGCAGACTGTAGTTGTGCAGATCAAAGGCCACAAGGCCTGTCTGATGATCAAGGTGCAAGCGGCGTCGAGCGGCGGGTTCCAGATCGTGGTGGCCAACCACTTTTATCCGCCACCGCAACAGCTCCTCGTCCTCGATGCAAGATACCAACTCGGCACGCGCTTTGATTTAAAGCTGCAGCTGCACCAAGGCCGCGTGCTCATCTACTATAAGGACATGGCGACACCAGCCATCGCAGCACCCTTTCAGGACAAAATCGACTGCCGCTGCCGCAACGAGACTGCCAAGCAAGCGCTGTGCTACTTCAAGACGGGCAACTACCTCCAGTCCAACACATCGTTTGACGCACCATCGTCGACAAGCGTCGTGCACCTCTACAAACTCAAGGCCTCGCATTCCAACGCCACGGACCCGCTTCCTTCCAACGCGTCGACCATTGTCAAGCCTGGTACGACCTCAAGTGCCGACGCACTCATCTCGCTACACGCGCTTCCGCTTCTGATGGCGCTCGTCTACCATGTCGTCCTTGCGTTAATGTTTGTACTAGTATTGTTGCGTCTCCGTTTCTCTCATACCTCAGCCCTACATCAACCCTAACCCTCGTGCCGATTTTGATCGATTTTTGGTCGATTTTTGGTCGATTTTTGGTCGATTTTTGGGAATCGGCAATGGATCATAGGAAATTTTCACCACCACCATGTACTGTACAGCGGCGGAGAGAATACACGGTGGCTGACAGGACCTCAAATCCAGCAATCCAATTGACTGGATTGGATGGACAGTGAGACAAGGTTTCCTCTTGTAGTTGATAGACAGTGTCGCGACGGATTGGGCTTGATGGAAACCGGTGAGCTATTATCTCACTGTGCTAGGTTTTGACACCCTGCACGTTGAATACCTTTTGTATCCGATATATATCAAGTTTGAAGTTACAGGCCCATAGATAGCTGGATATGAGGTCATTCACTCGACTAGCAACCTCTTCTATTCTCTACTATTTGTTCAAGTACTGCAACGAATCATCGTCTAGTAGGTGATGGGGTAGGCATCCACAAAGTCGGAGCAAGGGCCAACTGGAAGGGTCTTTGCAATGGGTGTCATAAAGACGCGCCAGAGCTTCAGGTCGAGGGCAAGCAGCGCGTCGTTGCGGCGAAACGTGAGGATGCCATCGATGGCCGCCGACGCACGGTCCAAGTAGTAGACGTCGCCAAGCGTTCGCGCCGTGTGGTTGTACAGATACCTCGCATTGGCCGACAAGAGGTGCGAGCGCACGGTGAGCAGCGGCGGCGGCCCCACCATCCGCCGCACCGCGAGAAAACTCACTGCATTCCATACAACGACCAGTAGGACGAGCTGGAGGAACCGAGACGCGGATCCAATGCCCAAGGCGCCGCTTTCGCAGCGCACTTTAAAGTCCATGTCGGCAATCGTGCACTGCCGCGCCAAAGTCATTTGCGCCGTGACGGGTGCGACGAGGGTTAGCATCGCCACCGAGATCCACACGAGCGTCGAGTTGAGGGTGACGTAGTAGCTCGCATACGTCTGCGTCACGACCAAGCCAATATCCGTCACGATCGCGGAGAGCCACGTGACTTCGGTGGCGGCCAACGCGACCTTGTACCAAGGCGTGGCCACGGTGTAAAACATGGAGAGCGCTCCGACGCGGACAAGGTCGATGGACGCTGTCGAGAGGAGGGCGACTGCCGTGAGACTCCGAAGGAGCAGCAGCGGTCGGCCGACCCAGACAATACCACCGACGCGGCAGAGCTCAAACATGTTTAAGCCCTCGACGCGGTTCCTGGCGCGGACGAGGTAGCCACTCGCTAGCGTCGCGACAAGAAGCATGACGCACGTGACATACGTGACGGCAAGGCGGCAGTAGACGGCGGCGTTGGTCGTCACCAAGTCCGTCGGCACCTGCTGGAGCAAGGCTGGCTGGAGGTCCGAGAGCAAGGTCAGCCGTCCGGCATCCCCTTGAAAGGAGAGCACTTCTCGATAGCCAAGAACCCAGTCGTAGAGGTACATGTAGCCAAAAAACCAAAAGTCGGCATCTTGCGAGTCCAGTACCGGTGTACGCAGGAGCGTCAGAGGCGACGTCTTGTTGAAACGCGCGTACAGCATGAAATGAATGTCGAGCGCTAGTAGAGAGGCGTGCACGGATCCGATTTCTATCGCCGAGGCGTCCAAGGACGTCAAGTACCGTTGCAGAAAGGTGCGGGTTTTGTTGAGGTACACGGAACAGGCAGCTTTGTTGTTGGCATCGTAGACACAAAGCCGTGGCACGTCGACCTGCGACGCGTTCTTGAACCCTACCCCGGATAGCACGGCCGAGGTGATGTAGTGCTGCCGCGTCGGGATGATGCGGGCGATGGCCGACGACGACGACGAGCACGGCAAGTCGAACGACGGAAGACTTGAAAAGCCCGCCGTGCCAACCGGTTGGCTGTTGGAGTACTCGGCGCAGAGCGGCGAGCCGCCGTACGAAGCGTAGTTGGGACCGCCCCACACGCGCGGGATCGGGTACGAGGCACTGAGGGTCGCAATGTCGAGCAAGTCGGTTTGCGCGGTCGCCTTCATGGCAATGACGACACGCGTGGCATGCAGAATCGCCCGGATCGCCGCGCTGACGAGCGCCGGCACGGGCACGTACACCATATCGATCATCCCAAATGGTCCAAGCTCTTGCGTCAGAAGCGTGAGGCCGGCGCTCAGGGGTACGTTCAGGACCTTGGCGTCGCTCAGCACGGATTGCAGCGAGCTGTTTTGAAAGGCAAAGCGCGCGCTGGTGCGTAGAAGGCTTCTACCGCCGATGCGGCTGGCATTGGTCGTGATCGCGTCCAAATCGTTGGCGAGCGACCAGTACATTTTGTACGACGTCGACCGATGGATGCGAAAGCCGCCGTCAATGCGAAGGAGCGTCATGGGGTACGAAATACCAAAGGCGTTGACGATCGCGTAGCTGTTGATGGCGCCGATGCGCTTGTAGTTTTGCCACTGCACTTGAAAGGTTGATAGATTGTGCTGACCCCACAGCGTGATTTCGTCGTGTAGTGAGAGTCGCTCGGTGGATACGGCATGCAGCCATTCCACACCTTCGGACGATTGCCGCAGATCCAAACCAAATGCTGTCTCAAAGGCATTGCCCCAACAAAACTCAAAGGTCGCCCAGTCAATGTTGCGCAGCACCGACTCGAGGTACACGGCAGCGTTCGACTCCATCTTCTGACATCGCATTTGGCGCTGGTGCGAGTACGCCATGGGCCACGTTTTCTTCCAGTCGAGGTAGCAGTACGGTGTAAAGATCCAGGGCGCGTTGCATGCATCCGAGACGCGAAGGCCCGCAATCGATGCTTCGATTGAACTCAGCTCATTGTGCTGGAGCCACGCACCATAGTTGTGGACGGTCGACACATACGCTGTCGGTGTCGCAAACGACTTGAAGAGGTTGATACTAGCATCGTCAAGAACAATGTTCTGGTTGTTCAAGAGGAGCACAAGCTGCTCGTTGAGCCAGTTGGCAAAAAACGCATGGTGCCCGGTGACGTTGAAGTTGGGCCAGAAAAAATCGTTGGACAAGTTGACGCGAGAGACTTCCAGGAACGAGACCGAGCTTACTATCGAAGAGACCACGTAGAGAAACCCAAAGGCAGCGACAACCCGCCGAGCGCGGTACAGAAGTCGTGTCGGCTCGGGCGTGTCCTCGGCGACCACCATTCGTGTCGAACCTGCGTCTGGTACGTGGCCTTCAAGCAGTACGGCTGGGCCGATCGACGTCGTGTCGCGCAAGAGTGTCCACGAGCGCAGCGCAAACACGTAGCGCTCGCCAAACCAGCGAAACGGAAGCAGCCCGAGGAGCACGCAACTCGCTTTATCAACAGCGATGGTCGCGTCGTGAGTCGAGAGCGGGACCAAGAAGGCTTGACCCACCGCCGGGAGAAGGAGGCTTTGATGCGCCGCCGATGCTTGCCGCCGCCGCCGTCGACCTAGAACCACCGGTAGAATGGCCGCAAGGAGCTCGAGGGCGAGGAGGAGCAGAAATCGCTCGAGGCTGCCAACGCGTAAGCTGCCAGCCGAGCACACAAGGCCGTAGTCCATGTCGTTGCCCACGCACGTTCGCTGTATTGCGGCCGTCGGCAAAACGGGCACGGCGACATCGATCGCACACAGAACGACCCACAGCACATAGCTCGCGGATGGTCCGTACGCGGCGACCGCGTTCGGCCAGCCGATGAGAAGGAACTCGTGCAGACTGTAGCTCAGCCACGTGGCTTCGCTGGCCACGATGGCCGTGTCGAGCCAGGAGCGCGGTGATAGCACCAAGAACGAATGGCTGTCGCGACGGCGTAGCGACAGCTGCGATGCGCTTTGGAGCACGAGTGCAGTGAGGCCGCGAAACGCCATGAGCGCGCGGCCTAGCCAGACGCCACCGACGAGCCGGTTGAACATCAAGACGTTGCCACTCTGGAGGCGAAGACCGCAGTGGATCGCATACACGAGCAAGAGAAAACCGAGCAGCACCAAGACGGAGGACGAGGCCAGCACGACAAAATAGAGATGGCTCGTTGCGACTTGAAGCCTCGCGTCGCTAGTTACATATGCCTGGCTCTCGTACGCGGACGAGAGAAGCGTCATGGACGACACATCGCCTCGGAACGAGACCACTTCGCGCGCCCCAGTCGCCCAGTCATAGAGGAAGCACCACCCAAAGAAGGTCCATGCATCATCGTCATCGTCATCGTCCTCGGATCGAGGTAGAAGGGCCTGCGTAAGGAGCTGCATAGTACCGTTGGCAGATGATGCAAACTGCATGATACGTGGAGTGTCTGCATCAATCGCTGCAAGTATGGCCGATAGCAAAGCGGTGGGTATCGGTGGGAGGTTCGCTTGCAGTGACGTGGCAGCCGCCATGGACGTGGCGCAATGCGAAGCCGTCGTATACGCACAGATGGAGGATGGCGGAGGCCGCGCTGTAACCCACGCCGCCCACATGAGATGCGCCGTAGTCAATGCAAGATTGAAGCGCGCGACACGGGTGCAGTCGTTGAAGAACCCGAATTGATCTTGCACAAACGACGAGGGTGTCGACGACGTGCAGGATGGGTCGCCGCCATGAAATGTAAGGTTGCGCCATCTCCGTGGCCACGGGTGGACGCTGACGTCGCGCAGTTGCTTGGTGTAGCGAACTGTCTCGTTGGTCGGCGCTTCGAGCCCCGTTCGCAGCATCTTTTGAAAGAAGTCGAGAGCTGAAAGAAGAGCAGGCGGCGGTGCAATGTACATGCAATCAATCGATATGTACGGCCCGATCGTCTCGTAAAAGGACTTGGTGATCCCGGGACGCACGACAATGCCTTGCCATGCCACGAGGCTGATGCTTGGCAACGAGGCGCTGATGTTGGCACCAAAGTGTCGACTCGTACCTCGGACAAAGCTACGGTTCATGATCATGCCGCAGTACAGATCGTTGAGCGGCATCCAGAAAAGACTTTGGGACGACCATGGACCCGTGACTTGGTCGAGTGCTTTCAGGGTGTAGCTCTGCTGCATCCCTAAAGCGTTTGAGACAACAATGGTCTCGGAGACGCCGGGTTGCCACCGACTCTGCCACTGCAGCTCAAAGCGAGAAAACTTGTGTGACCGCCAGTAGGCGAGCTCGTCGGCCACCGACGTTGTGTTGGCCGCCGTCGCCATCTGCGATAGAACAAGCGGCCCGCCAAGGTTTCTTCAAGCCCACGCTGGATGGCTACGTTGAAGCGAAGCCCATTGCCTCCCCAGAGCGCCAGGTACGCGTCCCATGGCTGGTTGCGCAGGATCGCTTCGAGGTACACGGCAGCGTTGGCTCGATAGTTGCGCTCACAGCGTTCTTGCCGAAGAAGCGTGTGGGCCATCTCGAACGTTTTGTTAAAGTCAACCCAGCAGTGCTGCACGTTCATGCGCATGCACCAGTAGGTGCTGAGCTTCCGGAGATGCGGCACAGCGTACTCGATGGACGTGAGTTCGCCGAGGAGCATGCGTCGTATGTACGAGGGGTAGATGCTCGTGTTGGACTCGACACTGGTGTACGTCTTGGCCACAACCGACGATGACGCGAGGATATCCAGCGCGCCATTGGATTGTGTCACGAGGAACTGGTTGACGAGGTCGATGAGGAAGGCTTGGTGGCCCGAGACGTTGTAGCCGGCCCACCAGAGGTCGTTGGCGAAGCTGGGTTGCAGCAACTGCAGGTACCGGACGCCGGCGGCGAGTGACGCAGCGACGTAAACAAGACTCGCGCCCACGACAAGGCGCTGGCGCGTGGTCACGACGAGCGTCGGGAGCACTGGCCCGGCGAGGCGTACGCTGTCCGTACACGCCCGGGGCCCAACGCGGCTCATGCGCCAAACGGTTATGAATCGATTATTGCGCCGTTTTAAAGTTGCCTTTCTAACAGCAGACAAGCATTCCATCTCTGCCGACTCGAGTTGGTGATGGCGAGCAGAGGTTTTTCCGTGGCGCTCTGCACCCAGCGCAACGCACGAGTCGAGTACGACGAGCAATGCCATTGTCGTTAAAAATCATACAAGTCCTCGTCATGCTTGGCCTCTTCGTGAGTCGCCTCGACCGCCTTGGCATCGTCGAGCTTGGCGGATTCCGTTGCATTCTGGTGGTGTTTCGGGCTATCGGGCGCGAGCCAGGCCGCAATCTCCGTCTTGAGCGCCTCGTCCGGCACGAGTTGGCCAAGTCCGAGCGGCTCGCCCGTCACGGGGCACCGGCTGCCATAGTTGGTAAACCACTTTTCGACCACCTAATTCCATCCAAATTGACGACTTGCAAAGCAAACTTACAACGAGAGTCTACCTTGCGCTCAAAGACGTGGCCGTACGGCGACTTGAGGGGGTCGTGGAGCAGCTTTTTTGTGATCGCGCACCGGAATTCAATCGGCACCTCCTCGTCGTCACTCGGCTTCTTGTGTGCTTTGGAGCTTTTCTTCTTCTTCTTGGGCTTGACGCCCGGATTGTCCGGCTCGGCGATCGGGGTGGCATCTGGGCGGCGGTCCGTGTCGGGGGCAGGCTCAGTCGCTGGAGTGCCGGGAGGTCCCCCAGGAGTGCAAACTCTTCCTTGCGCGAGAGCGGTACGACCGGCACGCATGTCTTCTCCTTGGGCGGCGACGACGTACTTTGCAGAGTGGATGCGGGTGGCTTTTTTGGACTCGCCGCTTGGGCCTCGCCGACGTCGTCGAGCATCGTCTTGATCTCCATCGAGATGGTGAGCTGGGACGCGATCGCGCCGCGCGCCGTCTTGACGAGCACGTCGGCGCCGTGCACCACCAGTGTCTAGTTCTCGAAACGTAGAAAACACCAACGACAAGCTAGGACAGAGGACGTACGCGCACGATCTCGCTGCGGTTGTGATAAGCCGCTTCGTGCAACGCCGTCCAGTGCAGCGCGTTGACTGCATTCTTGTCGACGCCGTGGTCAAGGAGCAACTACAAAATAACAAAATAAGAATATGCTATCGCCTCGGCGCTCTCTTGGATATATCATCCAAATGAGAACCTTGACGACGTCGACGTGGCCTTGCCGCGCCGCTTCGCCGAGGGGCGTCTGTCCCGCAAACGGGCAAAGTGCAAACTCGGGACAGACCGCGGTCGGATCGGCCCCTACGCAGCCATGGACATGAGTCTAATGACGGCCATGTCCATGGGGTGCGACCCGCCCGCAAGAGCTCCTTGGCGATCGAAACAAATCCGCGATGGCACGCTTCGTGCAGTGGATTCCACGCGACCGAGTTGGTCGTGTTGACATTCGACTTGGCCTTGATGAGTTTGAGGGCGAGGGCTTCAATGCCATAGGCGCCTAGAGACAATATGATTGCACACGCCTGTCGACGAAAGGAGGTACAGGCAATGTGCAGCGGTGTAAAGCCAGCCGAGAAGGACCCGGGGCCGCGCGTTGTCTTGGTACCAAGCACACTCATGGTCTGGTCTCGGTCCATCTCGAGCATCGCCTTCAAGATCGCCTTGCCCGCGTCGACCGTGTTGAGTGTATGGCAGCTCGCATGCAGTGGCGTCCAGCCGTCGGCGTTGGGCGTGAAGAGCGCCGCGCGGTCCAGCACCACGCGGTCGTCGGCGACGTTCACGACGAGGTACTTGTCAGCGTCGTTTTCGTCGATTGCGGGTTCGGCGTCGATCGCGGGCGCTGCGTCGGCGTCGTCGGCCTTCTTCTCCACAACGCGCGCGACGCCGTCGCTGCCAATGAGCATGATGGTGGCACCTGCATGGCATGAGCCATTCGGCGATGCGCCATGGTACTACTGTACTACCTTGGGGCTTGGCGGTCCGGTACCGCTTCTTGCCCACGTGAAAGTCATACAGGCGGTACATGTCTAGGACACGCATGACCATACTCTTCTGCTGGCATGGTCAATGTCTACCTGGGAAGCGGATGTAGCGCGGGTCGAGGCCCTGGAACATGGCTTCGCCGATGAGCATCGTGCAAGCGATCATCTGCCCGAGGTCGCCGTTCGTCGAGATGCCACCGCCCATGGCTGCCGTTTGAACACTGCGCCGTTTCAAGGTCGATTCGAGATCTTGACTTTGCAACGAATCAACTTACAGCTCGCCCGGCAAGACGCAATGGCAGAACTTAACGCAACACACCACGACCTGGCAACCATGGCAAGCACGGCGCCTCGTAGCTGCCAAGCCATGGGCATGGGGTCGGCCATGACCTGTCAGTAACGATGGGTAAGCTTCTGGCAGGACACGATGAGCTGGCAGCATGAGCGGGCACCTTGAAGTACGCGCATCTCACTGCATGGTCTGTGCTTCAGGACACTTTGATGCAATTCCACGCTTAGCAGCTCGTATGCGGCTAGTACCCAGGCGCTGGCTATCGAAGGAAAGGCGGGAGCTCATGGCGTTCTTGTAGCAGGTACTACGAAGAGCCTTGCCTCTTGCTGGCGTGTTTTAGCACTTGAAGCGCCCGTGCTGCACTCGGGAGCGTGGGACCAGTTGTTGCAGTTGGCGCCACCAGCTGCTACGGACCGCTGCACCGGATCGCGTCACGCACCAAGTTGACGATCGACCGACCGAACCGATCGTCGCTCGCCTTCGTTCCTCCAACATTGCCCCTAGTCGCTCGCGTTGGCCCTACTACAATGACCACGCGTAGAATTCTCTCAACCCATTCCTGACTTGGCTGGCAGCGGGTGCCACTGGCGCTTCTTGGGGCGCTGTAGCCGACGAATGGTCGCTCCATGAGCTTGAAGATCAATATATTTTTAGTTTATCTTTGAATCAGAGTCTTATTTATGTAGACTAAGAACCATCGTATAGTTATTAGCTATGCATGGACTGCAGCTTTGGGTAAGCTTAGGATCGGTTCATCGTCCGTGGTGTCAAGTCAACTTGTTGCATCAACACCGATGGCGACCGCCCGTTCAACGTGCGGTGCGGATTGGCCAATCCCGACGCGGTATTCCGGATCCGGATAACAAAGAGCCAATCACAGCGCGAGGAATCCATGGGGCGTTGAAGTTTTGGATTTCACTGACGCTCATTTCGAGATTCGATCGCTGCCAGCCCGATGGTCCTTGCTGCTGCCCGCTTGACGCGCCGCCTGGCGCCCCGCGCGACCCGCGCCTTCGCCTCGAAGGAGACGCCCAAGCTCAAGAGCGCGGACGAGGCCGCGCAGGGCGTGAGCTACACGCGCGGGCTCTTCCTCGGCGTCAACAACGCCAAGCTCGCGTTCCCGTACCCCAAGCTCTCGGAAGACGAGGTCGCGACGCTCCAGATGCTGGTCGACCCGGTCATCAAGACGTTCGAGACGATCGATGGCCGCAAGATTGACGAGACCAAGACGATCCCGGCCGAGACGATGGACAACCTCAAGGAGCTCGGCCTCTTTGGCCTCCAGATTCCGGAAGAGCTCAACGGCCTTGGCCTGAGCAACACGGGCTACGCGCGTGTGTGCGAAGAGCTCATTGACGGCTCGATCGCCGTCACGCTCATGGCGCACCAGTCGATTGGTCTCAAGGGCATTTTGCTCAACGGCAACGACGCGCAGAAGGAAAAGTACCTCCCCAAGCTCGCGACCGGCGAGCAAATGGCCGCGTTTGTCCTGACCGAGCCGAGCTCGGGCTCGGACGCACAGTCGATCCAGACGCGCGCGGTGCTCTCGGAAGACAAGTCGCACTTCATCTTGAACGGCGGCAAGATTTGGATCTCGAACGGCGGCTGGGCCGAGGTCATGACGGTGTTTGCGCAGACCAACGTCGACGGCAAGGACAAGGTCACGGCGTTCATCGTCGAGCGCGCGTTTGGCGGCGTCACGAGCGGCCCGCCCGAGGACAAGCTCGGCATCCGCGGCTCTAACACGTGCCAGGTCTTCTTCGACAATGTCAAGATCCCGGTGGAGAACGTGCTTGGCGGCGGGCCCGACGGCAAGACGGGCGGCCTCGCGGGCGTCGGGCACGGCTTCAAGGTGGCCATGAACATCCTCAACAATGGTCGCTTTGGCATTGGCGCCGCGTCGGGGGGCAACCTCCGCCGTGTCATCAACATGGCGGCCGAGCACGCGACGACGCGCAAGCAGTTTGGCTCGACGCTCTCGTCGTTTGGCTTGATCAAGGAGAAGTTTGGCAACCTCGCGCTGCAGACGTATGCGATCGAGAGCATGGCGTACATGACGACGGGCATGATTGACCGCGGCGATCCGTTCTGCGAGATTGAAGCCGCCATGTGCAAGGTGTACGGCTCGGAGGCCGCCTTCAACGGCATCAACGAGGCCATCCAGGTCATGGGCGGCACGGGCTTCATGAAGGACTGGCCGTTTGAGCGCTACATGCGCGACGCGCGCATTCTCTCGATCTTCGAGGGCACGAACGAGATTCTGCGCATGCTCATTGCGCTCTCGGGTGTCAAGACGGCCGGCGAGCGCCTCTCGGTGGTCGGCAACCTCTTTAAGAACCCGTTCCAGGACCCGGCCGCAATCGCGTCCGAGATCTCGGACCGTGTCCAAAAGAAGCTCAACCTCAAGAAGACGCCGCTGGACGGCGTGCACCCCAACTTGAAGGCGTCGGGTGAGCTCCTCCAGGCGCGCACGGCCGAGTTTGGTGACATTGTCGAGACGCTCCTCCGTAAGCACGGCAAGAACATCATCCACGAGCAGCTCCAGATGAAGCGCGTCGCCGATGCGGCGATCCAGCTGTTTGCGATGACGGCGACCATCTCGCGCGCGACGACGGCCCTCAACGAGAAGACGCCGACGGCCGCCCACGAGCAGGCGCTCGCGTCGCTCTTCGCCGAGTACGCCAGCGACAAGATCCTGCTCGAGCTGCGCGCGATCCGCACGCACAAGAAGAAGGACGAGCGCCTCTGCGCGATCGCCGACCAAATGTTTACCGAAGTCAAGTACATTCCGTCGCACCCGACCGGTGTCAACTCGCAGTAAGCCGTTGAGATGATGCAAACAGTAATATTAGTTGAGTGTGGTTTCCGACGTCGTCAAGATGGACCACCGGTACGGAGGTCGGTCCAGAACACAGTCGTGCTGCGTGACCGCCAACAAAGGTGGCTGCTGCAAGAGCTGTCACCGTTGACCAAGTTGCCTGACACTTGCATGGATCGACGTCTGCACGCGGTGGGGGTGGCCATACCGAGCCATTGGGAGTACGGGATGCAGTCTCATCAAAAGCGAAAAGTTGAATGCAATAAGGAGCCACACACTCGAACCATCGTTCACGAAGATAGCCCTACACCTTCGGGATACACCCGATTTCTTCCTCCTTGTACCGCGTCGATACTGCTCCCCGATCCTTCCTGGACAGGGGTAGGGGTCGACGGACGATAGCGGGGTGGGCGGGCGGCGAATAGAGGATAAGAGGTGGGTGGAAGGAGGAGTTCATGCAGGCAGGTTGTTTCCGGAGCTTGGGCGCCTTGGTTTCGGGGGTGGTAGGGGTCGTTGGAGAGGTTCCTGCACCGTTCCGCTAGCCTTGTGATGAGCGAAAAAACAGTATTGCTCTGTTCTGGTTTCTATCAACGCAAGAAGAAGAAGAAAGGTCTTCTTGAGACTAGGAATGCGTGGGTCTCTCAACGACCGCTTTGGACCTTGGACATGGCACGCGTGCCGTGCCACTGGGCCTCGTAAAAACGATGTGCGGAAGGGTTTCCACTGGCGCGCGATCGTGGCCCTCGTACTCATCAAATTGGTCTTATGAGTTATGCCCTAATTTGAGTTTCCCAAACGAAAACGTCATGACTTTGCACTCTTGAAGATCGACGTCGTCGTCGTCGAGGGTCGGTGGATGGGGCTTGACCTTGGACATGAGTCGCACCGGTGCGTGTTTTGTTGCATTGGCTTGAAAAATGCTTCGTCGGTTCTCTTGGAGGGCCTCGAGGCGGTCCTGTAGAACCAGAGACGCAGGGCGCTCGTCCTCGAGCTTGTCGGCCACCGGTCGTGACGTTGGTTGTCGTGCCGTCATTGTCGCCTTTGTCGTTGGCGCCAGAATCTCTTGAACAACGTGGGCGGCTTTGCGGGGCGACGCTTTCCCGATGCCACGTGGCTTGACAGGACCACCTTTGAGTAATAGCACCGCGCGCTTGGGCTCGTGGTGCTTGGGGCTAGGACTTGACGCAGTGAGGGGCACCACCGTCTTTTCAAGCAGCGATGCTGTCTCGATCTCGGACGCCACGTCCGTGTAAATGGTGTCGATGAATGCAATGTGGTCGTGGTTGGTGCTGAAGGCGGTCACCGTCTCGGTTGCCTACATCAGAAGTGTGTGGATCCTACGTTTGCATACATGTCGATACCTGCAGGAACCGGTCGCAGAACCGCCGCGCATCGATCGTGTCGTCGCCCTAACGACACGGTGTCTATACTATTTTCATAATACTGGAACATACGGCAAACAGAAGGTTTTCGACGGCCTCGGGCGTCCACGCCATCGACGCTTTCGTGCGGCTCTTGCGCTGCGATGTGGCGCCCATTTGCTTGGCGATGCAGATACTCATGACGTGGCACTTGTGCCGGTCCAGCACCGCGTTGCTCGCGCCGGCGCTGAGATCAAAGAGCTCGGTGAGCCGGGTTTGTACTTCGGCGGCCGCAAGCGCCTTGAGATCCATCTTGGACGAGCCCCCCATCGTCGTGAGGAGGTTGCGCTGCGTGCCTTGTCGCCGTACCGACTGTTTTCGTGACCGCACACCACGACCGTACACTGCGTGCAGACTGTCGCGCTACGGCGACCGACTCAGCGATGGTAATAGGACAGCGTATTTGTAATACCTTGTTGCTCAAGTGTGCGGGCTTTTCAATCAACGCGGCATCGAGCCGTGCCATTTTCGTGTACCACGAGGCTTTCGAAGGCTCCGAGAGGGCAGCGTGCACCTGTGCGAGCTGGAGGGCTTCGTACTCGCGGTCACTGGGAAATGGCGCGTACGGCCCGGACACTTCAAAACCAGAGAAGACGTTGAGGAGGATGTCGACGCCGAGCTCCGTGTGCATGTCGACGCGGGGTGGTAGGCTCGACACGAACGTATCGATCTTGCGCAGCGAGTCGGCGCGGCCCCCGCCTTGTATCCGAGGAATCATGGCGCCAAGGAGTACGATATATAAGTTTAGCCGCGTCGGTTTTTATTGTTGAAGGATCAAACAACCAGAGAACGACTCCAAATGCATAATGGACCTTGGCACCAACATTGTGCAAGGGGACGGACAACAGAAGGTGCCATGCATGCCGCCGATGTGCGAGGTGCGATGGTACAGTCTGCATATAGTGGTCGTCGGGCTTGGGCTACCAGTGGATTCTAGCCTTTTTTCCCATCTTCTCGTGTGGCCAAAGCAGCCTTGCGCCACCTACGGTTGTTTTCGCGCCACATTTGTCAGAATCTATAAATAGAATATACATTTCTCTACACTGTCTTTTGATCACGTCATGCCAAGTCTACACGAGACATATTTGATAAATAAAGATCAATATCCGACACTTTTATCCAAGCGCGCATTTTGTCAAACAGAATGTCAAAACAGAGTCTTGGCCGCTGTTGGCAAGCCCAACCCGGTACATTGAACCCAATTATCCAGTACAGCCTTTCTTTTCCATCCCGTGAGTGTCGTAGCTCTTTTGCCGAGGGGATCAACACCACGATGGACGCTTTCGTCCAGTGTGCTGCTCCGTTGGTTCCCAGACACCTGCCAGATCCACGCCACATCCCAGGAACACTTGTTACTTACGGCGGCCAGCCTTGCTATACAATAAATTGGTTTTATTGCGAATACAATGGGTAGGTATACATGTATTAAAATGCGGAATGAGGCATTTCGGTCCAGTCCTAATTAGTGCCCATTCCACATCGCCCGAGCCTAGATGTACACAAGGTAGCACTTTTGGATTTGCGCCCGTCGAACAGAGTAGTAGCATGTCTGCGCCGCCGATGACCCCGATGACGACCGACTACGCGGCCATCGTCGACGCCAAGCAGAAGGCCGCGAGCCCTGCGCCTGCTGCCTACAAGCCCGTCTTCCTCGGCATGTCGGCGCGCGACCTCGTCTTGATCCCGTGCCTCCTCGTCTTCTTCTACGCGGTCGTCGCTTGCTACTTTAGCCTCCTCTTGCATGCGGTCGTGCAGACGCAAAATTCGAACGCGGCGCTCTGGATGTTCTTTGGCATCTTCCTCCTCGCGCTCATCATGGCCACCTTCTTCCTCAACGTGTCGGCGGTCAAGAAGTCGCTGCCGGAAAAGGCCGACGCGTAAGAAGCTCGCTCGAATACATCTCTACTTTATTCCTCCGCCTGCTGTGTGTACGTCCTCGCAAAGCTATCTTGGCTGCAGTGACGCATCGAGGCCAGCAGCCACGACCATGGCATCTCGCACGGGCGCGCGTCGTGTAAGCTAGTGCGTACGCAGGACCTGGACAGGCCGCGCGTCGCACGCGCGTGACAGACCGCTTCCTCGTCGACCACGATGGCAATCATGGCTTGCGCATGCGAATCGTACCAAGGTCACCACAGCTGTCATCGAGATGGCCACCAAATGCGACGTTGGATGGCTGTACGCGCAGCATGATCCGAGAGTCCTACAGGCCATAGACCGCCAAGCCAAGACCACCACCTCGATCCAACGCGTCGAATCGACGCCATGGGCCAAAGGCCTTTGGTTGCTCGCATCGTGAAGAGCAAATCGGGCGCATTCCTGTCAGAAGAGCACATGGCACATGGACAGTGGCATGGCGCACCTCAAGCTGGCTAGCCACATAGCGGTACTCGAGCTTACTACAGCTCGAGCTTGACGCCACCATGCTTGCGTCCTACAGCTTCCTACACCCTCGTCGGTGGCCAACCGCAGTCGTTGCCAGCTCCTCTTCTCCAAGATGGCGGTCGCATCTATTTTTACGGGCTAAAAATAGCCTTCGAAAAACACCCGCCGCCATTTTGCCTCTCATTTCGAATTTCGTCAACCTCCAGCACAAGCAGCATGGCAACCCAAGCCGCCACCGACGTCGCCACCGACGTCAAGGTCGAGATCGAGCCCGAGGTGGCCAAGCCATCGGAAGCCATTGCGGATGTCAAGGTCGAGATCCAGCCCGAGGCCACCAACCCATCGGAGAAAGCCAAGGCCGGCAAGAGCGACCAAAAGGTCGCGCCGACCAAAGATTACCGCGCGCCGGACGCACGCCCCGACTACCACGTCGTGTGCTGCGAGAACTCGTGGGGCGATATTTTCTTCATTCCGTTCCAGACGCTTCTGCTCTACGGCTTCATGATTGGCTTTTCGATCCTTGTCGTCCAAGGCACGTACATGTCGACCATCTCGCAGGCCGCGCTGTGGATCTACTTTTTCGCGTGGGCCGCCGGCGTCGTGTACCTCAGCGTGACGATTGCGACCGCCGACTGGGAGACGAGTCTCAAGGCGAAGCTCGCGGCCAAGATGGCGGCCGACGAAGGCGCCGTCATCGAGTAATCTAGGATCCTAGCACTTTAGATATATATGAATCAATAGCCCTTTGCTAAACGACAGCGGAAGAAGCATGCCGCGCAGCGACGTCAAAACAATGATCCATTCATTTCATGGCCATAAATACACACCACAGCTACGATCAGAGAGACGCACCAACAGCAAGGACGACGAGCATCATCGTCATGCCGACGTCGCTGCATCGCGGCGCCATGGCGCAACCGTCTTGGGGCAGCCCATGAGCTCTTCGACGCGCTTGTGCTTGGCGACGTGGCCCTTGTACGACGTCGGGCTCGGCGCTGGCACGAGCGGGATCATCTCGGTATGCAATCGTGCCGCCAAGTCGGTCTGTGCCTCGGTCCAGCGGTTGGCCTCAGTCGCATCAAACACGGTGACTTTCAATGGCGCAGCGGTGCTAGGTCGTGCTCGAACCGCTTTCAGGTGGTCCAAGAGCACCTTGCAGTCGGGCGTCATGGCGCTTGGCTCTCGCGTTGGTAGCGCATGGGGCTCGGCCCAGTGCAGAAACTGGCGCTGGTGCAACACCTTTGGCGACGTCGTGGGTAATGGCATCTGCAGCGCAAAGCTGCCCGTGTTGCCCAACGTGCGATTGCCCGAGCTCCAGTCGCCGTCGCTCGTTGTGACCGTCGAGGCCGAGAGCGTCTCGAGCGCATCTTCGACGTAGTCGTACTTGGCGTTGCTGAGCGCATGGCCGCGCAGCAGCTTCTTCTTGGCTGGCTTGCGCGGGCTCCCGACGAGCTCGAGCTGGCGGGGACTGCTGGCTGCGCAGGCCATCGTGCTCTTCGTGGTCTCTTGAAATCTTGGCGACATGTTCGAATTTTGGCTCCGGACCGTGCGATTCGCCGAAAATAGCTATGGATCCGCGAATCAGAAGCGTCCATTTTAGTTGACGTCCGGTCCCGCGTATAAAGAAGCGCCAATCAAAGGCGCGATCGCTTTTATTTTAGCCAATCATATGCGATGCATACCAGGTGCGTTTTGGAAGCCCTCTTTGGCTTCGATGGAAGCTTCGAGGACGTGCCACGCGTCCTCGGTCCCAACGACTAGCTAAAGCCAGACAAACGACTAACTAAAGTAGTACGCTCTCGACAAGTCCCGTGCGCAGTAGCTCTATGCTCAAGCGATTCTCCGCAGAGGCAACCAACGAACCAACAGGCCTGTCGATCCTTCCGAAGTATCAAGGCAAGTATCAAGGGCTAGGGCTTGCGACCCTGCGTGCACTTTTCTCAGTCAACTGAGAAAAAAGCTTGGGGACCCTTCGAATCCACGTCGCTTGCGACATGTCGCATAGTCCATATTTTCGCATTCCTACACAACAGACTCGTTCCAATTTTAATATCTCTACGCTTCTTGTTTCGGCTTCTTGGACGGCGACGTCTCGTCGATCGAGCGCTTGCGCTTCGGTGACGCGGCCTCGGTCATCGGCTCGTTGACGTGGTCTTTGCCCTCGTCGTCCGAGTCCTACGGATTGTGTCAACCACGCCTCCTCATCATGCCGGCAAGTACCTGCGTCATCGCGTCGTCTTCCTCATATGGGTTGAGAAGCATGTGCGCGAGGTCTGTCGTGCGCTTGGCGGGCGTCATTTCCGTCTTGACGCTGTCATCGTCCATGACCGCCAGCATATCTAAGGTAGACATGATGCACTGATCTCTCCTCATCAATTTGCGCACCCTTGCCCTTTTGGTCCTTTGCCCGGCGGTTCGAAAACCAGTTTTTGAGCTGCCGCTTTGTGATCGCCGACGTCTCGTCCTCGCTGAGAATGTTCATTTGGTCTTGGAGCTCGTCAAAGACACTGGCTTCGGGGCGCGGCGATGCGTCGTAGGCGGCATGGAGGACCTGCAGCTGCTTGTCGCTAAAGATGCGGCCCTGAACCTTGCTCTTGCGGGCCGTGCTCGCGGGAGCTGGCGGCTTCTCGTCGTCCATTGGCAGCTCGTCGCCCTAAACAGTTGACGTTCATTGGTGGGCGTGGGTACAGGCATTAAGAGGAACTACCTCGCTGTCGTCTTCGTCCATGGGCTTGACGTCGCCGGCGGCGAGCGCCTCGGCGAGCGCATTGGGTGCATGCCCCGCCGCCTTGCGCTTGTAAAACCAACAGCGCAGCTGCTTGTAGTCGGACGACGACTCGCCCGAGACCTTGTTCATCTTCATGCGCAGCTTTAGTAGCTGGTCCTTATCGGGCGCGTCGTTGAGATTGTAAGCCTTCTCGAGAAGACGGAGCTGCGCCACGTTGAATTTGGCCCGGACAATCTTGGTCGGTGCGGCGTCCTTCATCTCCGACAGTGTCGTTTCAACCTATACGATTCAGCTTCAGATTCAGATTCAAAACCAGGTTTTTTCAATGTACCGAAGCCGGCATCGCATTCGGGTCGTCGGCCGCCGCAATCACGGCTTGGATCGTATCCGAGAGCTTGGTCGCGAGCTTGACGAGCTCCTTGTTTTCTTGATGCGACTTGGCCACGAGCTTGAGCTGGCGGTCGAGGCGCGTATCGACGAGCACTTGCGCTGGAATGTCCACCGACTAGAAGACAATAGTAGTGTGTGCATACGACTGTCTCAAGTGGTACGTACCAGGAGCAGTTCGAGAATGTCAATGCACGCTTCGGCCGGCGCGTCTTCTTCGACGAGCTTGAGCAGCTTAAACTTGAGGTCCGTGACCTCGTCCTTTGTCAGCGGGTGTGACCCGAGCGCCTTGCCATTGTAAAAGAGCCGGTCGCGCGCGGCTTGCATGGCTTTGGCACGGATCTCCTTGACCTCTTCCTCACTACCCAAAACAATACGATGAGACATGACGCGTGCCATTCGTCGAGTAGACCTCAAGCCTTGTTCGCGCGCGAGCCGGCACGCCTTGCGCACGGACGCGACGTGGTCCATGCGAAGACGCTGCTTGGACTTGGTAGCGGGCGCGGGCGCCTTGCGCTTCGTCACTTCCGGCGCGGCTTCGTGCTCGGCCGCCTAGTGGAAGAAAATTGAAAAACAATGAAAACATGAAAACAATGAAAATGTACCGGGGACGTGGCGGACGTTGACGGCTCGAGGGCGAGCTGCTCGGCCTCTTCGACAATCTCCATCGCGCCCGCGCTCGTCTCGCGCATCTTGGCGACGCGCGCTTCGAGCACTTCCTTGGCTTCGTCAATGTACGCCGCCCGAAGCTTCTTGATGTCTTCGTTGTCCAGATTCGACGTGTCTTCGTCCTTCATCTTGAGGCGCATGTAGTCGAGTCGCTCCTTGGCGCGGCGGTTGTCAAACCAGATGCGGATTTGCTTGACCGCGATGCCTTCGGGCTGCAGCTCCGCATCCGCGTACTGGGGCGCGTTGATGATGCGGTACATGGCCTGGATCTCGCTCGACTCGGGCCGCGACGACTTGCTGTACCACTCTTCGAGCTTTGCGATCTGCGCCGACGAGTAGAGCCGGGACGCGCCGCCGCCCGTCTTGACCTTGAGCTTGGCCTTCGCGGCCTCCTTGGCTTCCTTCTCGAGCGTTTTCATCTCGAGGTTGGGCGGAAACTTGACGTCCTTGATAAAGTCGACTTCGGTTTGCACCGATTGGTACTGCACCGTGTACAGCGCTGACTCGAGCGTCGAGAGGCCGGCGAGGACTTTGCGCAGCAACACTGCCGACGGTGTTGCTTCGTCGTCGTGGGCCGTGGTCGCAAAATGGCCCTCGACGTCGCCTTTGAGGCTCTGGGCCATGTGCAGCATCTCTTCGCTCTTCTCGATGAGCATTGCGTTGAACTTTTTACCCGCCTTGAGCGCCACATCGACGAGCCGCGCGTACTTGGCGTCATGGGTCGTCGCGGCCGCAGGCGACGGTGCTTTTGTCGGCGTCGTTGCGCCCTTGGGACGAGCGTTGGTGCCCTTGGCACTAAACACACACATGTTTAGGCAATGATCAAAATGGATAAAGTACCTTTTCCGAGCCGCCTTGGGCATCGACGTCATCTTCTTGATCGGCTCGCAGTCGGGGCAGAACCACTTCTTCGCGTGGTTGGTCGTAATGAGCTTGGCGTACTTTTGCCGAAAGCATGTTGTGTGGAACCGAACGTGGCACTGCGCGCACACGAGCGCCCGCTTCGCGTTCAGCGTGTCTTCATGACACACCTCACAGATCGTCGACGCCGCCTTGTCCTGCACGCATGCATCATAAGCATCACCCTTGGCCAGCTCACATTGCTACAAGGTATGTAGTACCTTGTCGTGGGCCCGCGACGGGTCGGCGCGCGCCGAGGCTTCCTGTTGCAAGAGGAGTTGCTCGAGCTCATCTTCGTCGTCGCGCATCTCGTCGTCGGACGGCGGCTGGCTCTCGCCGTGGCTCGCATCATCGTCATCGTCGTCGTCGCTCGACTCGGAGCCTTCGCTCATGGCCTTGGCCTTGACGAGGCTCGCGAGCAAGCTCGTGCCCGTTGTGATCGAGGCTGGCAGCTTGGCCGCGTCGTCGCCATTGTTCGGGTCCATCATACGCAGCGGCGGGAGGCTGCCGGCGAATGCAGACGGCGGTGGCGGCAGCGAGGGCGCTTGGTACGGCGGCGGCGGCCGCTCGTCGTCGCTCGAGGAGCTCATGCGAATCCGGTGGTCTGAGGCAAAAGTCGAAATAAAACTTCCATTGCCGGTCCCATATTAACGAGGCGCCGATACAAACACCAAATGAACTTTCATCGACCAACATGCAGCTAATATGGCGTGCCTATGGACCTCGAAGTCTACCTTCGAGTGTCACTTGGCATTTGTATCGCAACCCAGCGAACTTCGAAGCGACAGCCCCGCGTGGGGTTCTTTTAGAACGCGTGGTGAGTAATGGAAGGTCAATGGAGCCAAGTTGACTGAACATGGGCACGCGACGACGACGGAATCGAGTTTGTCAACGTGCATGGCCTATGCCGAAGGGCTCCTTCTGCCTCGTCGAGCCAAGCGCGGGGCGCGCCACAGCCATCGCGCCGGCGAAATGCCCCAAACGTCTCTCGGTGGCCAGACATCCAAGTGCGAAATCAATGCAACCGAATAGCGACCGAACAATGTGGCCGTCAATCGGGGTGATAGCGACACGGGCAAGATGGCTTGCAAGCTCTCGATGCATTATCGTTGAGAGACATCACATTCATCATCATCATCGTCATGCAAGTGGTTCTCCTCCAGGATGGAGATGGCGCCGTCGATACACAGCTGCACATGGAGGTGGATCGGTCGTCCGTAGTACGTAGTACATGGTAGTACTTTGGCCAGTGTACCTACGAAATAGAAACTCCTCCTTTGGAGATGGGACGTGTGGACCAAGGATGCAATATGTATGCACAACAAGTCTATTGGAACGCGCAAGTAGGTAGTGTGCTCTAGGCGCTGAGGTCCATGGTGGTGCCTTGGTTAAGCGTATTCACGAGCTCGACGGTTTGATTATAGACGACAAAGCCTCCAGGCGCGTCGCCGGACGGCGTCGTCTGCGTGCTGCGCGGTGCGTTCTCGGCGTAGTTGTCCAGGTACGTCCCGTACGCAAAGTCATTTACGTAGAGAAAGAGCACGAGGATCATGCGCGTGCCTTTCGAGATCGCGTACCCTGCGTGCCGGAGCGGGCCGGCAAAGGCGACCGCGTGGCCAACGCCAGCGTCCACCACCTGGTCGAGCGCTTCGAACCACGTGCCGCCGCCGACAAAGGTGTCGTTGAGCGTAATGACGACGCTCGTGACACTCGTGTCGTTGTGCTCGGGGAGACTCAGCGACCCATCCCGCTCGGCGTCGTAGCGGACGATGAACGCATCGTGCACGCGGCACCGACTCGATTGCGTCATCGGGTCGACCATGCTCGACCCATCGGCCAACATCGGAAAGCACGTCGATAAGAACGGATACACGCGCGTTGCGAGCAGCGTGCGGAGCCACGGGCGCAGCGCCGGTATGTCTTCGACGGCCACGTCTGTCGTCTTGACGCTCGAGTGCCGCACGGTGCCCCAGACGCCACCGAGGATCGTCTCATGGTGCGCATGCACGAGCGCAAGCACGTGGTCGCACTCGCTGCGCGTCAAGAGCGGCGACTGCGAGCGAAACACGAGCTGACCGGCTTGCGCATTGGCGTCAAAGATGGCGTGGGCAGGCGTCGGCGCCGCTTCAAACCCTTGCACTGCAAATGGCGGCAGCGCGCCGTCGCCGACGAGGCCAGGCAGAAGCTCTTCGTGCACCGCCGCATCGTCCCAGCACTGGCGCTTTCGGTGCTGGCGCGCAAGGACGGGGCACGACGGGATCGCTTGGCTGCCGTCGCTCCAGAGCTTGTAGGCGCGCGTGTGGTCGTCACCGTGGATCTTGACCCAGCCTGCGAGGTGGTAGGCGTCCGCGGCCGTGTCGACGTCGCAAGCCGCTGGGTCGTTGGCAAATATTTCGGTCACGGCCACGCACAGCTGCAGCGCGTCGTCGTAGTGGCCGGCCTTGAATTGCAGTCGACCGAGCGCAAGCAGCAGCGACGGGTCGTGTGCAAAGTACATGTCGATTGCATTGGATAGCACCTCGATGGCTTCGTAGCGCCGGTGCAGGCCCTCGAGCGCGGTCGCGTAGCAGAGGTAGATCTCGCGCTCCGAGATGGACGGGTCCTGGAGCCAAGTCTCCTGGAGCAGCATCGCTTGGCAGACCGCGATTGTCGTTGCGTGCTTCTTGCGCGTCTTGATGGCGTCGACCTCGTCGGCCGACTTGCCGGCGTACAGCGTCGCTTCGTACGCCTCGAGCATCGCATCCGAGTCCGTGGCGGCGTCCATTGCTTCGCGGTTGATACAAAAACACGCTTCAAGCACCGTTGCAGTGTACATATACACGCTAATTTAGGTGGTACACTATTTCGGTTCGCAATTAGATGTGGCATATGCCACAAAATAAAGTCGTGACGTGGCGCGAAGAGACGATGTGGGTGCGGAAGCTGCGAGGAGCTTTGGAGTTGACGACAACTTTCCAATGTGCAAAGCGTGCCCTCGAGACATGGTCTGCAAGGATGTCGGTGTTAGCCGTCAGCATGCAAGAGCCAAGCCCTATGGATGTTCGGAATCGGTCACGTTGGGCTGGACCCAGTGATAGATGAAGATGACGGCTGAATCTCGTCGGCCCACATTCAACTACCTCGTTCTCATTCGAGCATCTTGTGGGAAGCGGGGAACAGCAAGTGCTGTTTGAAGGAGCCTACTTGTGGCCATGTGTGCAGCTGCCAGTTGATAGGCAGCTACCGGATGATCCTTGGAACAGGCGCTTTTGGCGGTCGGTTGCGCAAGCTCCATAATGGTGGTTGACGAGTGCTTGATTGAGTTGGTTCGCACACACCACGCTGCATCGTAGCAGTCGCAGCAAACATGCCGGAGCCAAACCATTCGAGTTTAACGTACCGGTAGTCAACCTGGCGGTGGATAAGCAACTTTGCTGATCCACGTCAAGTAGTCTCAGGACGGTGGTAGCTTGAGATGATCGCGGCCGATCACGACGTCTCCGACGGGGCAGGGCCCATATGCCGCATTTAACAACGCCGTGCCGAATGCAATGGATCGATACATATACTATTTCCGACAAGTAAAATGGTGTACGATCGAGCCGGCCAATCCGCGGCCGCGCCCCAAAGACATGCACGTCATTGGATACATTACTAACGCTTTATGGCCAATCGGCGCGGCGATCGTTGCTGATTGGTGCGTGGGTGCAAATCCCATTTTGCCCAATCAGGCAAAAGATTGCGGCGACTTTGCATTTGGGGCGACGATTGTAGCATGAAGACGCTCCGGGATGCCCGCGCGTCCATCGAGCTCTACGAGGACGACGACAGCGAGTTCAACCCGCTGCTCTCGCCCGCGCCCATCTCCAAGGACGAGCTGCGTCACGTCTTCGCCCTTGGCATCCCGCTCGTACGCGCCATGCCCACGACCTGCCTCATGCATGGGCCTGCTCTAGGTCGTCGTGCACTTTCTCGAGTTTGTACCCAACACGCTCAATGGCATGCTTCTCGGCCATCTCTGTACATCGCTCGTATGTGCTCGCTGTACGCATCTCATGCACTGTGTAGCGACCGCCGCCGACGAGACCCAAGTGTACCTTGCGGCCGGCGGCCTGAGCAACCTCTACTACACGGTCTTTGCCTATGGCCTCGTCTTTGGCGTCTGCACGGCCATGGACGCGCTCTGCGCCCAAGCCTACGGAAAGGGCATGAAGGACGACATTGGCTACGTGCTCCAGACCGCGTGCGTGTGCGCGCTCGGTGTGTTTGTCCCTGTCGCGCTCTTGCTCTGTTTTGCCAGCACCTTTCTCGAGTGGATGGGCCAGTCGCCCGAGGTCCGTGCTGTGTGTGTAGCGATGTATCAACTTGAAACTGTTTCAAATAGATTGCCAAGGTGGCACAGACACTCACGCGCTGGATGATCCTCGAGCTGCCGTGGAGCTTCGCGTACGAGATCCTCAAGCGTGTGCTCCAGGGCCAAAACATTGTGCTACCGATCGTCCTTGCCATCGGAGTCGCCAACGTTGTCAACGCTGCGACGTCCTATGGCCTCATGTACCACACGTCGTTGGTACGCACATGGTCTTGCGCTCCCGTCCTTCTCACCACGCACGCATCGGTAGGGCTACATGGGCTCGGCTGTCTCCTTTGCCTTGGTGTTTGCAACCGCAGCGCTCGCGCTTGTTCCTGCGGTGCGTTTCCTGGGCTTGCATGCCCACCGCTTATTCTTACTGTAGGTGCGCAAGCTACCGCACGTTCCATTCCGTGAGCGCTGGGAGATGACCGAGGTGCTGCACCGGCTTCCGTACTTTATTTCACTCAGGTCAACGTGTCGGCTATGTATCGATGTCTCAACTCAAAATTGTAGTCTCAACGGCTGGGGCATGTTTGTGTTTGAGTTTGTCGCAGTCGCGCTCACGTCATTCCTCGCCGGCGGCCTCCCGAACGCCAACGTGGCCATGAGTGCCAACAACATTTACATGGGCTTCCGCACGCTCTTCTCGATGGTCTACCTTGGCATTGGCATGGCCGCGTACGTGTCTTGCATGCATGTCCATAACTCTCACCGCTTCGTCCTAGGTCGATTCGCGTCGGCAACGCCCTTGGGGCAACCTTCCGTGCCGCGCCAAGATTGCGGCGTGGCAAACCGTCGGGCTTGCGATCACGTGGGCGCTTCTGACGATGCTTGCCATGTGTGCGCTGGGCCCGCACTATACGACGAGCTACACGCGAGACCCGGCCATCTACGCGTATGTCGTTTCCACGTGCCACGTCACGGATGTACTACTATGTTCGGTGGTTAGGGTTGCCAAGGACCTCTTTTGGATCACGGCGCCCTTTCAAGTTCCGATTGGGATTTGGGCGACGATCCAGGGCGTTTTTCGTGGCAGCGGTACGTCGGGCCGTGATCGCGTCAGGGAAACATCAGTTCTTATTGTCGTAGGCAAACCCGACAAGGGGATTTGGATCAACTTGGTCGCGTTCTTGGTCGTGGGCGTGCCGCTCGGACATGTTCTCGCCGTGTCGTGTGGCCTCGGTATCGTCGGTCTCTGGCTCGGCGTCTGCGTCGGGTTCTCGATTTGTGCTGTCTACGGTCTTGTATGGCTCTACCACGTTGATTGGAACGACTTGGTGCTCGACGTGGACGCCAAGTTGCACGCCTAGTTGCTCCTATAATTCGCGCCTTTTTCTCGTTTCTCGTACATGAGCGGCGGCGAGCTGCACCGTTTCGTATGGTCAATTCGCTTGAAGCCTGGGCTTTCAGAGATGGATTCGCATTGCTCTAGGCCACGCTTGCAACCAGATTAACGTCATGTTCGCTCTCACACGTGATTTGGTCCCTATAATGCTACCCTGTGGATGGATCTCTCGCTTGATAGCAACGACCGAGTGCGAACCCTTGTGCATTCAGCCGTACGAGCGCGACTGCGTCTCTGAGATCATTTACCAGCTTGCTGTCAACGCAACTTGAAGTGTTTTAGCCATGCTTTAAAAATCGAACCTAGTCGGGCAATCTGTTGTGCCGGAAATACGAACTTGACGGAAACAATCGCGCGATTGTCAAGCCCATTCATCGCCAGGATGTGCAGGTTCAGCGAAACGAGAGTGCTTTTCCTGCTCGCAAGTAAGGGCGTCAGTGGATAGGCACCAATGTCACAGAAGCCGCGTCGGATCGCTTCTGCTGCAACCACCCCGCCCAATGGCATGTGCCAAAGAGTGCTCGGACACGGTGGGCGCAACGAGCCTCTTCTTCTCAATGCAAGACAGACTCTACATGACTGGCAGATATGGAGAGAGGCGAGGCTTGCTGGGACGTTGGGCTCCCGGGATCCCGATAACCGAGATCGTCAACAGTACTTGTTGGCAAAGGCAACTTACCACCGATTCGAACGCCATGCGATGGAGCGGAACGCCGATGGGTCCTTGCACTCTCGTCAATCGAGGTAGAGATGCTAGTGTCAATGACACCGGGCGAGTTGAGAACTGCACAAAATATTGTAAGAAAGAGTGCTGACCCCACGTGCGTTGCTTCGCGGTCTCTCTCCGAGCCGCTGCCCACACGGCGCTTGCTAACGTTCCTGAGCTAGAGCAGAAATATACACTGAGTATCACATCCTACTAAGTAGCAAGGGTTTTGCTAGTAGGTGTACCGGGTCCTAGGTGCATTGGATCCCTGGCGGCGGTCGCAGAGTAGCCGCGCTGGCAGTCGCAAGTTCGATGAGGGGTCTTTGTAGAAAGCGACTCCAAGGCGGATGATAGGACGAGTGAGTCGAACGGAAGTAGCATCAACGTCGCAAGCGGCCGCCGGGATCAGCAAACTGCGTTGATGACGGAGGACGTCGTGCGACTGAAACTCCCAACTCTCCCAACGGCTAATGCCTATTCGTTTTGGTACGCCTTGCGCAGCTCGTAGCATTATTGAGAAAGGAGCTCTTCACGAGCGATTGAGAACTGGTAAAAGGACACGTGAAGCCCGAGATACTTGTACATTTCTACCCGCTTGTGAGGCATCGGATGTCGGCTGGCGCACATTGAAAATGAAACGCTGCTTGGATTGGCTACCGAGCTGTCACACTATTTGTGATTGGTCAAAACGGTGGCTTTTGCACCAATGGCCTTTGCGTTTCACATTGCGGAGTCCTTGCACGTGATATGGCCGCCGACCAAAGGCCAAATGCAAAGGCGGAACGGTGACCCAACTTAACGGCGCACAGATGGCGAGGGCCGGCAGCTTGCTGGATACTACGTTCGTCGCTACGCCACACACCGCACTACTCTTCAATTTACCAGTCGACGACCATGAAGCTGAGCCTTCCGATCGCTCTGGCCGCCACCGCCATCACGACCACGGCGGCGGCCATCTGCAAGGGCATCGCGCCCTACTCGTACACGGCCGCGGTCCAAGCCAACGCGCAGTTTGCACCGGCGATCGACGAGCTGAAAAAGTACTCGGTCGCAACGTGGTATACCGACAATGGCGGCGACTCGATCGATGCGCTCCTGGCCGCTTGCCCCTACGACACGCCCGTCATCATCGTGTACGGTCTACCCGGGAAGGACTGCGCGTCGGGCTGGTCGGGTGGCGGCAACAACCAAAATACCGACCAGTACAAGGCGTGGGCCCAGAAGCTGGCTTCCAAGGTCGGCAACCGCAAGGTCATTTACATTTTGGAGCCGGATGCTATCGGCCTCCTCTCCAACAACAACTGCGCCGTGCAGAATGGATATGCCGGCAACCTCCTCGCCGCCAAGAACATTCTGGCAGCCAACGCCAACGCGCAGATCTACGCGGACGTGGCCGGCTGGTCCACGCAGGCCAACGCGGTCCAGGCCCTCAAGAACCTCGGCAAGCTCTCGGGTATCGCGATCAATACCTCCAACTACAAGAGCACAAACGAGATGGTCCAAGCCTGCCAGTCGTACTCGAGCCAGACCGGCGGCCTTCACTGCATCATTGACACGTCGCGCAACTTTAACGGGTCGCCGCAGAACGAGTGGTGCAACGCACGGTCGGCGGGCATCGGCGCGCCGCCAACCGACCAGACGGGCAACTCGCTGGTTGACTACTTCCTCTGGCTCAAGGTGCCCGGCGAGTCGGACGGGCAGTGCCATGGCCAATCGAGCGATGCGATGATCGGGCCAGGCGCAGGCCAGTTCTTTCCCGACGGCTTCAAATCCCTTTGGGACCAAGGCTACTTTGTGTCGAGAGGCGCAGCTAAGATCGGCCAAGCCCCCGCCCCGGCGCCAGTCCCCGCGCCGATCAGCAGCCAGTGCGCAACCAAGGCCAATTGGGACTACTCTGGGAACGACCTGTACAGCTTTGGTGTTCAAGGCAGCACGGACGACCAAGTGCACAAGTGCTGCTCATCCTGCCAGAGCGACAGCAACTGCAAGGCGTTCACGGTGGCCTACAACAACTGCTACCTCAAGCACTCGACAGGCAGCGGTGGCCAGAGCCACAACGGCGGGATCGCTGGCACCAAGAGCATTGGCGGTGCGAGCGGCGGCGCGTGTGGGGCAAGCGAGGCCAACACCGACTACTACGGCAACGACATCACCCGGTATGCGGTGAGCGGCGACGCCAGCAGCCAAGCGAGCTACTGCTGCGACAAGTGCTCGGCAACGAGCGGCTGCGCTGGCTACACGATCAACGGCGGCTTCTGCTACATGAAGAGCCAGATGACCAACAAGTTTTGGAGCGCAACGGCAGTCTCGGCGACGCGGTCCGGTAGTGCATCGTGCGGGGCGACCGAAGCCAATACTGACTACTACGGCAACGACATGAGCCGGTTCCCGGTCAGCGGTGACGCCAACAGCCAGGCGAGCTACTGCTGTGGCAAGTGCACGTCGACGAGTGGCTGTGCCGGATTTACGATCAACGGCGGCTACTGCTACATCAAGAGCAAGCTCGAAAACAAATTTTGGAGCAACTCGGCGGTCTCAGGCCGTCGGTTGTCTTCGCGCCTGCGCCGTGTTTAACTCGTCGGTGGAGCAGCGCTCTGTGTCTATAAAAATGTCTTTTTGTTTTACGTACTATATTGCCCCTACCCTGTAGTGAGACCTTTAGTACAAAGGTGGAATGGATCGTTGATGTTGAATGTGAATGCGTACATCAATCAAAGAGGTAGCACAGATTTGTGTACTACACGCGTGTGGAGCTGAGGTGAGCGAAACTCGCACAGGAGATCGTCCATTGGCAGCACGACACATGCTGTCGTGGCGTCCGGTGGACACGAATGATACCCATCATCTGCTCCATCTGCAGCATGCCTGTTGTACTTATCGAGGCTCTGAGCAAGATGAAGCGTCGTCAATCGCAGTCGGTACTTTGTCGTTGCGGCCTTGTTATGTCCCTCACAACACCCCAAAACCCTACCCCTAACTAGAATGTTCACGTTCTATACGACGCAATGACTCGATAGCTGCTCCCAGGACCCGTACCAAAAGACTGTCTTTCGTATTGAAAATCACCTGATCGTAGACGCAACCGCGGCCACATGGCCATTTTTGCACCAATCCAGCGTACCCTAGCCCTCGACGTTGGTGATGACCAAGAGTATAGAAAATCAATAAGTCGAATGGACGCACCAAGTTTACCAGAACAAACCATGTTAGCCGTGCTTTTTACGACGGCATTCGTACTATGTACATGTAGAAACGACGAGATGGCCGCTTAGACGCGGCGGAGGCGGCGGGTCGTGTCGTCGTCGTCGTACGTCTCGTCGTCGTCATCGTCGGTGGCCGTCGACTCGAGGCTTTCGTAGTCGCTCTTGGGCTCCGAGCTGGGGCGGCACTGGTAGTAGTACTCGTTGTACTTGACGCAGCGAGCGCCATCGACGCACTGGGTGTCACCCTTGTAGTTGGTGCCGCCGCATTGGTAGTAGAGAGCAACCTTGCCGCCGGACGGCTTGTCCGTGGGCTTACTCGACGGCTTGGTCGACGGCTTGGTCGACGGCTTGGTCGTTGGCTTCGTGGTCGGCGCGGTGGTCGGCTTGTCCGTCGGGTACTCGGCCGTCGGAGCGGGCGTAGGGGCCTTCGTGGACGGGCCGGGCTTGTTGGTCGACGGGTTCGGCTTGTTGGTCGACGGGCTCGGTTTGCTGGTCGACGGGCTCGGACCCGCACTGCCAATCGCGACACAGTTTTCTACAGACACGAATATCCGTTTTCGAGGCCACAAGGAGGTAGCGACGACGTACTGTAAGCCTGCCATTGCGGCGTGTGGAGCGCCATCCAGAGCATCGTGAGCTGCTTGGCGCCAGCGCACTTGGACGTGTCGATGGGCATCGAGCCGTCCGGAATGTTCTTGGCGCAGTCGTCGTTGTAGTAGACGCGCGTCTCATCGCACCAGAGCTCGCACGGACCCTAATCCATGTGAGTTCTCAAATCGAATGCATTAGTCGAGAGACCGTACCTCGTGGGACGGCGTGAAGCCCTCGTTGTCTCCGTGACGCCACTTGACGATGCTCGGCAGCGGCTGCGGGTTGGCTGCGTCGACCTTGGTGATGCCGCACTGGCCGCACTGCGCGCTCGTGTCCCACGCATCCAAGAACGCCTTGAGCGTCTTGTACTTGCTCGTTTTGAAGTTGGCAGCAAACTGCGCGGCGTTGTAGCCCGGGTCCTGGTTGTATGCCGAGCCAGGCAGCGACGTGGGACCATCGATCGTGCCGCAGAAGCGCGTCGGGTCGCTATTGGGCTCAAGAAACGTCGGCTTGGGGTCAAAGAGGCCGCCGTGGGCCGCCACTTGCGACGCCACCAGCGCCAGACCAACAAGAGTACTAGCAGAGACCATGGTGTCGAGAAC